CTTATATGTATTCCTCGTCTCCCTCATTCGTGCTACATGCGCTGCCCACATAACACACCCCTGATTTGGTGACCTTAATTTTTCAAACCTGATCCATTCTTTCTTCTAAAATGCTGCTTGATAAGAGTACACCAAATTCTGCAAGACTATGAATCTTTTTCATGGCAATGAAAACTGCACATGCTTCATTATATCAGCAACTCAGCGGCCTCCATAGTCTAGCGGTAACGTTCCAACCTCATGACTCAAGGTACGCGGGTTCAAACCCGGCGGAGGTCGTGGAATTTTTAAGGGCGGAAAAATTCAGGGAACAAATCCTCTGGGAGGGACTTTAAGCCGTGGGTCCCGTGTCGTAGATTTACGGCACGTAAAAGTTCCTCATTTCTCTAGGATCCCTCTGAGCTAAATTAGGCAACAAGTTTCCCACCCAAGTAGTTTTAAATGCCTCTGGTAGATGGGGGAAATATCAGGTACCGAGGGCCGACCTCGTTGGCTGAACGGGGCTGATAGCACACACCAGTACCGGTAGGGTATGGCGACAGTAGAAATTAAAGGGGGACGCAAAATGGACCAATAAATGGTCTAAGTGCATGGGTAAACCCACCCCCTCTAGTAATAATAATAATATTAATATCAGCAACTCCAGATGACATGTGATATCTTGATAGCCTCCTATGAAAGCCATAATTATTAGCATTTATTCACTATCAAGGGCACGCGGTAGTGCAGTTTTGTTGAGGAATGTAACGCCGTGGTGCAGGGGGGCGTGGAGGTACCCCTCCTTGCCACCACAGCTTACGCTGTAAGGAGTTAACACAATAATCCTGGCTTACCCTCAGCTAGGATTCTCCTGTTTCGGGGCTTCCTTCTCTACTTAAAGCTGCCACCATCTATTATATCGTACGAAGGTTGGTGTCAAGTACCAAGGGCCGGTAGCGCGGTAGTCGAGCGTTCTCCGTTGGCTGGCCCTTTCATCCTTGTCACCTCTTATTATTGGCGTAGAGAGGGCGTGCCGGGTCTGACCCGCCTCTACCTATCGTCTGTCATCTCTAGGGTGGGAACTACCCCTTGACATATAGCCATAGCTCTCTCCTGACAACTCTTCATATAGTCTGCAGGTAGCAACGTATTACATTATTATTATTCTTGAGGGGGCGTTGATACCAAGGCTAATAAACGCTGCCTGCGTGGCAGGTGCCTACCCCTGTCCAGTAGTACCTCCCCTGAACTGTGGTTGCATTCGGCTGCTGTTGCCTTTCTTATTGGTAGGATCCGCGTGATCGGTCGTGGAAAGGTGATTATGGAGGCGTGAATCACAATCCCGGTACATCCTACTCTAACTACCCTGTCTATTTACACTCTTATTTACATTATTTACAATATTAACAAGACCGACCTACAGTCGGGTCTACATAGGGTCTTTACTTCATCCTATGCTTCCTCATTTTCTCCCTTAAAATACTCTGCCCGTAAAGTTATACATATTAAAAGCCCACATACCATGTTTATCACAAAAATCATTAATCGTGACTATAACGCAACTGTGCGTATCCTACACACTAACCGTAATCTTAAAACATACACCATAACACAGACATATTAACGGACTATCTTCCTAGGTAATTACTTGTTACATAATTATTACTCTCCCCTAAGGGCTCGCCGAGCACACTGGAGTTTGCTTTGATATTTTCCACACACCTTTATCAACACTAATATTTAACAACATGGCTTATACGAGTAAACGTGCCTTACTTGAAATAGAAGAATGCAGGCCAACTTCCAGCACTCGTAAGACCCATATTGAATAGCGTCTCCGGCTGACAACTGGTTATTACCTGTTAGATCAGATCCACAGTCTCCTCAATTCCGTATTTTATATCTTTAACTTGCTGAATAGACTGTTGCTGAAAGAGGGAGGTTAACTCCTCTTTTCGTTCTTAATTCCCAAAGTTATATTCTAATTGGCTATTCCCCGGGGTTGTGGGCGGGCCCGTGGTCCTCTCTGCTGCTTATGCGATAATATTACTATACTCCAGTGGCCCAGTTAGCGGAGCTTCTTACTTATGCGATTACGCATAAATGCTGATCATCAACATTCTTAACCTAGTTCCCTAGTCCATGTGTTGTCATCTTTGCTCGGTTGCTGTAAAACCCTTTTCGCAAGTCTCGAACATTTAGGTAATGCCTTAAATTTCCAGTACCAAAATTGAGGCGCAACAAGGAACTACGCTACAAGCAGGAAGGTCACGTGTTCGGTTCCCAATCACGTCACTGCATTTTTCAATTTACGTAATTCTTCCACCTGCACTATGGCCCTGTGGTTGAATTAGCCCCTAACAGAAATGAGTACAATGAATCTTCCTAGGGGTAAAGGGTGGCTGGAGCTTAAGGCTGATAACCATACCGTCATCTTTGAGCCGATTGTCTAGAAAATGTGGAAGCCTCGACATCTCACAATCCTATGGGCGCCCACAGCCTGTTACAGGCTAGCTTTACATTCTTTATTCACCAATAGCAGAAGATCCTTGTTACTTGCTCTCGGTTATACATATGAGTATACTGAGCACGTCTGTTCTGCCTAGCTATCACTGTTTGCTGAAACACTAACAACCAGATACATTAAACATCACACCCCTTCCAACCCTTTCCTCATTACAAAATTACACTCCTAACATTACGCCAGCATAAAGTGTGTCCACACAATACTGTATCATAAACCAGTTAAGATTCCCTTTAAGGTGCATTAAGAAAAGATGAAAGCGGCCTCCGTAGTCTAGAGGTAACGTTCCCACCTCATGACTCGTAGTACGCGGGTTCAAATACCCGGCGGAGGTCGTCGAATTTTTAAGGGCGGAAAAATTCAGGGAACAAGTCCTCCGGGAGGGTCTTTAAGCCGTGGGTCCGCGTGTCGTAGCTTTACGGCACGTAAAAGAACCTCATATCTCCAAAGGAGGTCACTCAGCCAAATTACGTACGTTTCCCGCCCAACAGCAGTCTCTAATACCTCTGGTAGACGGGGAGCGCATTATAGATACCTCTCAACTAGTAGAGCCGGTCTCGCTGGCTGGGCGGGACTGATGGTAAGCACCAGTACCGGTAGGATATAGAGACTGGTAGAAATCATAGAGGGAAGCACAATGGACCAATACAGGTCTAAGTGCATGGGGAAACCCACTCTCTCCAATAACTAACTAACTAACTAAGAAAAGATGAATGAACTTTACCTCTGTGAACAGAATCCAAATCTGTAATCGGATTCTTCTTCTTCGGAATTATTTCTGAAGCTAGGAACCTTTTAGACATTTGGTAGATCATTTTGCATTGGAGACTGTTCCAACACAACACCGAAGGACGGCGACATACAGCCGTACCCAGAGCGGGTCTCGAATCCGCGATCCTAGTGTTCGAGCATGCCAAGGCCATGAAAGGCCTAAATATCACTGCCACTATGATAGGTACAATGCCAGTTATAAACATATGAACACAAGTATAAATATCTATGAAGAAGTTAAATGCTCTCTCAGATATGCGTATAATTTTTTATGTTACCACTCCCAAGTAGACTTATCCCTTCTTGTCTTGTCAATAGACATCGGAACGACTAAGACGTACAGAAAATTAAATTTTCACTGCGATGTTAGTCCGTGGATCAGTCTGTCTTGAGAAGCTGACAGCAATTATGATTATAATAGTCTAAAAGCCGAAGATTCGTTACCATGTTCACGAAAGTTTACTGTTGGTTGGTATCCTAAATCACATCCTGTTACTTTCAGATCCATTTCATTATTACCCCTAAATTACGCGCAGATCTCTCAAACGGTCTCATTCCCTCAGGTATGCCGACTACAGTTGCGTAGGTATATATTTCTAGCCTCTCCCAGTAGTCCTCTCCGTTTCTTCCTCCTGCAGTTCGTGTTACAAATATTCAGCACCGTAACACCGATCACCCGGCGCGTAGGACTGACGAACTTACCGTCATCTGTGAGCCGATTGTCTAGAGAAAATGTGGGAGCCTCGACGTCTCACAATCCTATGAGCCTTACCAGCTTGTTACAGGGATACCTTTACATTTAATATGGATCATAACAGGCCTACTGTACCAACCGAGCGACCTCCGCTTTTCGGCGAAGTTAGTGCCAACTTTGTCGGATAGCGGTTGTCGCGTGGTCAGCGCAACGAATCCCCACGGCCGTTAATCTCGGTTTTCTTGACCTGAGCCGCTATTTTTTCAATCAAGTAGCTCCTGAATTATCCCCATGAGGCTGAGTGGACCCCGGGCCAGACCTACTACTCCTCAGAAAATCTGGTCGCTCCGGGAATCGAGCCCGGACCTCTGGAGCTGTAGGCAGGAAGTCTGACCACTAGACCAGAGAGGCGGTCTTCTTTTTAATAATAGGCCTACAGTTTTCCTCTAGATCTGCATTACGTAAGATCCCCCTGTACGATACTGTGAAAAGTTACCACAGCTTACATTTCGTCTCTATGACCTATTTCAAATACAAAACTAGATTAAAATTTTAAATGAGTCCGAAAGATGATGAGTAGGGAACTTTTTAATTGTTTTAAAGCCGTATATTTTTGTGGGAAGCGCCTGGTTATGCAGGCCTATGAAAGGAAATTAAGGGCATAATTACAGTAACGTGCCTTCAAGTAGACTCTGAAGAGCCATATTGAGTGGCGTTTCGTATATTGCTACACTATATTTAACGAACATAAAATTCTACAGAAGAAATCTAGAGGAAAATATGCCCTGGTTGAGTGCACGTAACCGTCTGAGGCATATTTTTGTGTTTCATACACAGTTTATGTCCCTTGAATTGATAGTACAATTTGCAGGAACTCAGATTATAACTTGTCCGTGTGCCATTAGTGATATCAGNTAGATTAAAATTTTAAATGAGTCCGAAAGATGATGAGTAGGGAACTTTTTAATTGTTTTAAAGCCGTATATTTTTGTGGGAAGCGCCTGGTTATGCAGGCCTATGAAAGGAAATTAAGGGCATAATTACAGTAACGTGCCTTCAAGTAGACTCTGAAGAGCCATATTGAGTGGCGTTTCGTATATTGCTACACTATATTTAACGAACATAAAATTCTACAGAAGAAATCTAGAGGAAAATATGCCCTGGTTGAGTGCACGTAACCGTCTGAGGCATATTTTTGTGTTTCATACACAGTTTATGTCCCTTGAATTGATAGTACAATTTGCAGGAACTCAGATTATAACTTGTCCGTGTGCCATTAGTGATATCAGGCTTCGCAGTTTGTCATTCGAAACTCAGGAATGTCGGTGGTCGTTCTCTGTGAACACAAAAGAAAGAGCAAGATATTAACACAATGAAGAGATTTTAAATTATCCTATGAAGGATAAAGAAATGCGAGATGAAAGCTCCATTTGGATAAACGAGTAATTTAAAGCATTGCAGTTTATACATTTTTCCAAATATGAATATTGCAAACAAGAAAGAAGTCATTTTTTGAACGCAAATACTGTATTGCTTTTTTAATATAAACCTCCCTCTTTCAATCCTATGACTATACAGCCCTTCATCTTTTATACATTTTAATTTCGACGAATTATTTCCAATATGGATGACTTAACGTTGAGACATCGCCTTCCTTAACCTTGAGCGTATCTTCTTGTTTGATTCCGTCAACATAATCCATGTATAGATACACTGTATATTAAGGGTTGACAACATGTTTCTGCCTTTTGGCTATTATCAGGTATTATACACTCACCTTTGACTTATCTGCTCTCTTAGGCCCCGCCATAGCTCAAGTGGTTAGTCGCTGGCTTCCCACCGCGGCGGCCCGGGTTCGATCCCGAGTCTGGTCAAGTGGGATTTGTGGTGGACAAAGTGGCGCTGGGGCAGGTTTTCTCCGAGTACTTCGGTTTCCCCTGCCAACCTTCATTCCACCAATTGCTCCACGATCACCCTCATCTATCATCTGGGGCTCGTACAATAGGCCAGAAGTGGCCGCAGTACAAGGGACTTAGTCCCACCCCACTGGCAATAAAAAATAAATAAAATATCTGCTCTCTTGCCTACATTTCAAAGAAAGATAATCAAGTCTTCTTATTCAGAAGTGATTGCAATTATCATTATACACTTTAACAAATAATAATAACATTATATTCTCGCCGGGAATCGAATCCCGATTCTTCGGTCTCCCAGTTCGTAATTCAGTCACTCTGCTGACTGAGCTACACTTTTCGTACATTTGTACATATGCGTTGATATAAGTTTGATTCAAATAAAATGGGTCATACTAACACATGATTTACATATACTTTTCGTATATATACGTTAATATAAATTTAAATAAATTAAAATGGGACATATTGACACAGGATTTACTTATTTACGTTATTGAAGTAATCAGTGTAAGGATGGGCCTATGCGAGATATACAAGGTGTCCCAGGTGTTTGGTGCCATACTTCAGTAGCGTACTGAGGGTTCCCTATAGAATAACTTTGAAATAGGAACCCATGTCCGCAAACGTAAAATAACTCTAGGGCGGCATTTAAAATCATTTCGTTTAAACTTGGCACCTCAATGTCGAACTGCATTGCATAGAGGAACAGCCACCCACAAGCACTCGTGCCATTGCCAAGATTCTGAGGACATCAGAATCAAGTGTTTGGAGGATCCTGCACAACCAACAGCTTTATCCGTATCATCATTTTAAATTTAGAATTTAAAATTTAGAGGAAATTTTAAAGGATTTTAAAATCATAACTAAAGATTTTATAGTGCTACTACAGGAAAATTTGACGTGTGCAATATAATCTACATACCAGACACATATCAACGAGGTAGATGTTGATAATACGACAAAAATAACAATGTGTTTTTTAAATGTTAAATTTTAGACTGGGTTTCAGTGTGGCAGCAACGTTAAAAGTATACACCTGATGATGGCCGATAGAGGCCGAAACATGTAGTGTAGAAAAGAACAAGATCAAAGACATATAATATACATTGTTTGCACTTGGGACGGAGTGTGTATCATTTACCATTCTTATTAGTTGTCTATGATCTCAGCTCTATTTCCTATAATGCTGCCATCCAAAATTTGTATTTCGGTTTCTTTCTGTTCAGTTAATTAAATTTAAACAAGTCTCCTAATATTTTTGTTAAGTATGGAGATTATGATATAGGAAATACTACTGACTGCTTCTGTCCGGCGGCGCAGAGCTGTGAGCTCACCTTTGTGCAGCTGTTGGTCGGGAAGAGTAGCGGATAGGGGCTGGCCTCAGGCGTGCCGTTACAAGGCTGGGGAGTTGGAGGCCGTGGGTCGGGCTCACTGCAGCCTAAGAGCCAATGCGTTGTGACACGGCCCTTACCCTTAAGCTCCACTTCTCCACGAAGCTCCAGCTGAAATGTCCCGAACTTGTCCAGGATTTGTCTAGCGTCGTCACTCACGTGGATTCTTAGGGCTGAAAAATTCCACGTGAGATTTACACGTAATCCGCGGATTGAGATATCCCCGCTCTCTCTGCAACTAACCCCACTCAGAGAGGTAGAATTCTAAACCTGGATCAGTTTACTTGTGCGTGTGGTTTAGTATGAAATTGTGGAACGGTATTGACAATTCACTTCTTCACTCATGCAGCTGAGCCCTTCTTGAGGAGCTGCCAATTGTGCAGCTGTCTTAAAACATAACAATTTGAATACACAAAACTATAATTTTGCCTGTGGTTCTGCATGGGTGTAAAACTTGGTCTCTGACATTAAGGGGGGAACATAGACTGAGGGTGTTCCAAAATATGGCGTTATTGAGAATATTTGGACTGAAGAGAGATCAAGAGACAGGAGGTTGAAGAAAACTGCACAATGAGGAGCTTCATAACTTGTACTCTTCTCCAAGTATAATTAGAATGGTCAAGTCAAGGAGGAGGAGATGGACAGGGTATGTAGCTTGAATGGGGGAGAGGAGGGATGTACGAGTATATAGGATATTGGTGGGAAAACCGGAATGAAGGAGACCACTGGGAAGACCAAGACGTAGTTGGGTGAAAAATATTAAAATATATCTTAGAGAGATAGGATAGGATTGTATGGATTGGATTGATCTGACTCAGGATAGGGACCAATAGAGGGCTCTTTTGAACACGATAATGAACCTTCGGGTTCCATGAAATGCTGGAGTATTGATAATTAACAAATTAATTTAATGTTGAACGAACTTTTTTAACAGCTGATATTCACTCACGTTATTTAAGAATTACTCCTCCTATTAGTGAATCCAAAAGAAATATTATGGTTCTGTACATTTGTAATTTTTCACAATGGAGATGGAAAAGAAAGGCTTCTAAACTGAACAATACAAAGCACTTCCAAGATTTAAGGTGATCTAAATTTACTTGTGGATGTAATTTCAATTCGTTATTTCTTTGTCATCCTTTTACGTAATTAGGTCCTCCAACCTATTCCCATTCATCAGTAAATTCTGCAGCTGTGAAATCTTGTAAGACAGTTGGCAGGGTTCCTAGGCTGGAACCCACAATCCTACTTCTGTAGGTGCCGAAGAGAGTACTTGCCTTCAACCGCAATGCCACTGCGATCGGCTGAATATATATACTGTGACATGTTGCGCAAAGGAGAACCCCCTCCCCACCAGCAGTGACGCGGCGGGTGAGTCAGCGCTCCCCTCCCCCTCCTCCGCACGGTAACGTAACGGTGACGCAACAGGATTGTTACGGTAGTAACAGCGGTTACTTCCGCTAGCGTTACTAGCAACACAGCGCCAGGCAACAAGGGTGCTTATTACGTGGCCGTATTGTCCGATCGAGGCTACATAAGGAGCAGCGAAGGCTATTCACAGTCAGTTGTACTGTGACAGTCACCGAGTGCGTTATCAACGACTTCTCAGTTCGCAAGTTACGAGCTACAGCCGCGTGTGCGATAACCAGTGATAACCAGTCATATCTGGAGTGTGTAATTCAGGGAGACTTGTATAGCTCCCGCATTATTAGTACGTGAAGACTCTCGAAGAGAGTGTTAAGAGATTTTGTTCTAGGGTTTGTAAAGAGTGGAAACCCGTAACATTGTTATCATTAATTGTAGCCGATAGTTGTAGATTGTTGAATAAACCAGTTAACGATCTCTACGGCGTCTTCAGTAAACGAAACACGTTACAATACTAAATATCCGGAAAGGAAAGATACACAAGGTCCAGAAAATATTTGTAAAGCATTTTTTATTCACCTGTAGCACTTTTATAACACACCTTTATTTACTTTTCAACACTGTCACCACGGATCGCAATGCACTTAGCGGGCCTGGGAACGGTTTTTCTTTTTTCCAGCGTCGTAGAAATCTTCCGTCTGCTTCCTTAGCCAGGGAGAAAAAATTCCTGACACTTCTGGACATTGTTGATGAAGTTCATCGATGGTTAAACGTCTGTCAGCACGAATGTTTTCATCAGTTTTCTGGATGTTTTCATCAGTGAAAACGGATGGCCATCATCATGAACATCATTCAACCCGCTTCAAATACACGACACCATTTTGCCACGTTCTGCCTGTTCATAACATCTTCGCCGTAAACAGAAACAAGTTGGCGATGAATTTCAGCAGCAGTTTCTCCTTACGCCTGAAGAAATCGAATTACTGCACGAACCTCACATTTGGCGGGATTTTGAATCGACACGACCATTTAAAACTCACATTGCGAGTACAACGTTGCCGTGACTGTGGCCGGAGAAACTCTGCCCTATATCATACGGTTCCTATCTCACACGGCAGCACTGCCTTTCCCTTGCATTTTTACTGGACTTGTATCTTTACTTTCCGGATGTACCTCGTATTATTACCCTTCCCAAATATTTGAACTCTTCCTTATTCTACAAGCTCTGTGATTGAGATACGGTAGAACTGTCCCCATGCTTAATTAAGTTTTGTAGTGGGCGGGGGGGGACGTTGGTAGCTCTTATAGCCTATTGGATAGCAACCAGCTCCTTTCTTTCATCCAACCTTAGTTTCGCCTCCGAAACACCACCCGCTGCGCGAGCAATATGAAGACTGCCAAAATCGTTATCCTTGAATATGATAACTGCAGTTTTTGCGAAAACGTTGGAAACCATTGGACGTCCTAAGCATCGTCTTCCCGAAAGCGAATTCATACATAACATGAAACATTACTTTACATTAAATTACATTGTGGACAGCTCTGTGAATATCTTACGTTGACCAGAGGATTCCATTCTTGAAGCGGTGTTTACTGTGTCTCCAAATAGGCAGAAGTGAGGCATCTTTTGTCCAACAACCCCTGCACACACAGGCCCTGAAACAGAGATTAACCCTTCAAAGGACAGTAGTTCTTATTTTTTTATTATTATTTTCTCATTGGATGAGACTGAGTCCGCTTGGTACTGCGGCCACTATTGGCCTATTGTATCAGCCCCAGATGACAGATGATTGTGGAGCAGTTGCTGGATTGCAAATGGGCAAGGGAAACCGAAATACTGGGTGAAAACCTGCCCCAGTGCCAATTTGTCCACCAGAAATCCCACATGACCAGACTTGGGCTCGAGGCCGGCAACTCTAGGCCTGAGCTATGGCACGGCCTCCTAAGGACAGTGTTTTTTATTCCTAGTGGGGTGGGACTAAGTCCCTTGTACTGCGGCCAATTCTGGCCTATTGTACCAGCCCCAGATGACAGGTGAGGGTGATTGTAGAGCAATTGGTGGAATGAAGATTGGCAGGGGAACCGAAGTGCTCGGAGAAAACCTGTCCCAGCGCCACTTTGTCCACCACAAATCCCACTTGACCAGACCCGGGATCGAACGTGGGCCGCCGCGGTTGGAAGCCAGCGACTAACCGCTTGAGCTATGGTGCGGCCAAGGACAGTGGTTACTATACCTACCAATTCCTTTAACACAAAGTAACTCCGAATTTTTCCGTACATTGTATTTATCTATTTTGTACGATTCTCACAATGCCAAAGGATGTAGCAAGACAAGAATTTGGACTGTGGTGAAAGTGAGAAGTAACGCTCAATTCGAAGATGCAGAGACTAGTTACTTAACGACGCTGTTGAAGTTACAGCGTCTAATGAACTGTAAAAAAAAGGTTATGATTTATTTATTACTAGGTTATTTGACAACGCTGTACAAACCGAACACGTTGGTGCAACGGTAACGATTTAGACTAATAATCGGAGGTGCTCGTTTCGAATCTCATTTGGAACACCGACTATCTTGGTTTTCCTCAGTCAGTCTAGGCAAATTCCAAGATAATACCTCGGTTAGTCCATGATCGCTTAATTTCACATTTTTCCAGGTCATTTTTAACCAGTCTCAATAACACTCGACACTGTATAGTCTGAGATTGTGTACGTAACTGTAGTGGTGTGTAAAGTGAGACAGATAACCCACCATAAAAAGTAAAAGGGCTATTATTGATGATGGCATGAAAGAGCAGAAGAGAAAATGACAGTAGCCCGTCTCCCAGTGCTGTTACTACTGCCACCATAAAGGGTCACTGAAAGCAAGCGTATAGCCAGCCAGATTGGCCAGTACCTGCTCATATACTGACCTGAATGAATCCCAATTCGGATTTTAAGTTGTGCCTCTGGTTTATGCTTGATAGTGAACGAGTTGACGGCGCACAGAATTGCCAGGGCCATGAGGCCAATCTCTCGAGCGTGGTCATCTCCGTTCCTCTGAGGCAGTCCGGACACCACCATGTACGCATCGCCAATCGTTTCAACCTGCAAGAAGTGTCATTTACTTACTTACTTACATGGCCCCAACATAGCTCAAGCGGTTAGTCGCTGGCTTCCCACCGCGGGCGGCCCTGGTTCAATCCCGGGTCTAGTCAAGTGGGATTTGTGGTGGACAAAGCGATGCTGGGGCAGGTTTTCTCCGAGTATTTCGGTTTCCCCTGCCAATCTTCATTCCACCAATTGCTCCATAATCACCCTCACCTATCATCTGGGGCTGGTGCAATAGGCCAGAAATGGCCGCAGTACAAGGGACTTAGTCCCACCCCACTAGCAACAAAAAAAAATACTTATGCAGCTGACTCCTTCTTGAGAAGCCAAATCTGCAGCTACTCAAGAATTTCCCAGCATTTTGTGGAACGGGAAGGTTCATTACCGTGTTCACAAGAGCCATCCACTGGTCCCTATCCTGAGCCAGATCAATCCAATCCATACCATCCCATCCTATCTCTCTAAGATCCATTTTAATATTGTCCACCAACCTACGCCTTGGTCTTCCCGGTGGTCTCTTTCCTTCTGGTTTTCCCACCAATATCCTATATGCATTCATTTTCTCCCAATTCATGCTACATGCCCTGCCCACCTCATCCTCCTTGACTTGATCATTCCAAGCAAGAAGTGTCANCAGTACAAGGGACTTAGTCCCACCCCACTAGCAACAAAAAATACTTACTTACTTATGGAGCTGACTCCTTCTTGAGAAGCCAAATCTGCAGCTACTCAAGAATTTCCCAGCATTTTATGGAACCGGAAGGTTCATTACCGTGTTCACAAGAGCCATCCACTGGTCCCTATCCTGAGCCAGATCAATCCAATCCATACCATCCCATCCTATCTCTCTAAGATCCATTTTAATATTGTCCACCAACCTACGCCTTGGTCTTCCCGGTGGTCTCTTTCCTTCTGGTTTTCCCACCAATATCCTATATGCATTCATTTTCTCCCAATTCATGCTACATGCCCTGCCCACCTCAGCCTCCTTGACTTGATCATTCTAAGCAAGAAGTGTCCTGGTTATCAAAATTAAACAGATCCGGAAATTAAAATTACTGAAATTCGTCTTCTTACACTTACACAGAGTAGGCTGTTCGGGAAGTTTAGATTATAATTCTCGTAAATAACTGTCCACCCAGTAATATTTCTTCGACGGGAGTTGAGTCCATCACAATTCTCTACCATCACAGGATAACCCATTACACCACGGATACACATTCATGCCCAGAGCGGGTTTCGAAACTCGATCTTTGTATGAAAACGTTATAAAGCCTTTAAATTATGATTTAACCGGAGTCTGATCGAAATATTTACCAGTTTGTATGAAAAGGGAACTGTACTGCAACAACACAGTGTCACTACTGGGAGGACATGTAGAATTAAAGCCTGTGTTGATCACTAACATCTCAAGAAGGCCTTTGCTCCTTGGAGTTAGATAAAGTTTCTATGTTGAGATACAGAAGCAGTTCCTGAATTTATTCTGCTCTTAATTTCATCATTGACTGTATTTGCTTTCTTTATGTTTTTTATATGTAGACCTGTTTCAAAGTTTCAGAATTTTGTAAGGCTTAACTTGATCATATCGGCATAAACTTAAGACAGTTGCAGAATATCAAACGGGCTATGATCAAATGTAGAGACATCAAACCGCAAAAGGCACCGAAATTTTCCGGTTTCAATAGATTACATAATTGATCCATCCCATGATAGGATTACCGGATTGGCCAAATGTAAGCTGCTAGGCCCGTAATACTATTCAACCGATAAGGGACTTCACTTATTCATTTCCGAAGTCTCCATCAGGTTCGCTACGCTTCTTCATTTGGAACTGGGACTCATTCATATTAGCGGTGACTGGTCTGTGGTTAAGTTTGTTTAGCTTTCTGCAGTCATGCCGAAAGTGAAAGTAAGTCAGAAAACTAAATTACAGCTGTATCAGCGGGAGTTCGAGGGAGAGATGACAGCTACGGATAATAAAATTCCTTATTTCAGGGCATGTGAAAAAACAACTGGTTTTGAAAAAAAGCTTTCAAATGCTTCAGAATTTGAGCACTAAGACGTACGGAGGAGTGGATGTATAGATCCACATTTTCTTTTCCTCGATACTAGTTGGAGGTGACTGGTCAGCTTCGCGCCCTGGCCGCTTTACCCCCGTACCCATTGTATAAGAGGTTGGATGAATCCGAAGAGCCGGTCTGTACGACGTGGAGGAGTAAAAATTGTTGACCCTACCGTGACTCGAACTCAGACCTTTCGGTCGTGCAGCCCGTAGCTAGTCGGCTAAATGCGAGTTCCATTGGTTTGTTTTTAACTTATAATGAAAAAATGTTGATTTTGTTGCATGTTTTGCAATTAAGTATAGATTTTCATTGCAAGTGAATTTTTGTGATTACATAAAATTAACTTAAATATTGATTTGTTGGTTTTAAAATGATGTAAAATCAATTTTAATATCTGGTATGAATTTTTATATACGTATTTTACGTGCATATCTTGGAAGTTTTCCATGGATAAATGTATACACATTTAAGGGATTATTGGGGCATGAAAATCTAGTCCCTAGTTATCATACAACAAACAAACAAACAAACAAACTCCGTGATTTTAGTCCGCAAGCGAACTATACCGGCCGAGTGACTGCCGCTTTTCGGCGAAGTTTAGTGCCAACTTTAGCGGATAGAGGATGTCTCTTGGTCAACGCAACGAATCCCCAAGGCCGTTAAGCTCGGTTTTCTAGACCTGATCCGCTATTTCCTTGAAATAGCTCCCCAGTTATCATCACGAGGCTGAGTGGACCCCATAATTTCAGAAATCTACTTCAGTACATAGCAGTAATGCTAATGTTGCTCTCTCCTGAGGCGCTCCTGCAGGCGCTGTGTTCTTTGTGTTCTTGTATTGATAGCAGGATATTCAGCGCTTGTGTAGCTTCTAGTAACATAATGTGAAACAGGGTTTCTTGAAAATCAGTAGATGTTTCTCTATTCATGGGATCATAGAACATTCATATGGACGTGTTAATACCATAATCTTATCATTTCATATAAAATACGGAACTGGAGCAAAATATAGGAGATACAAATTGAGGTTAAAATAAACTAATTAGGTATTTATGAAACACACCCATCTGAAAGCGTGCATGAATTTTATTAATTTAGGTCTAGATTAATTTACCTTGTACACGTCGTAAAAGCCAATTATTCTATCAAAAGTACTGTATAAATCGTTGAGAAAGTTCACGACCTGAAAAGGAAACATACGTGTAATTAGGGTTGCATGAAATAAAATGAAGTTTTGGTTCTACAATAATTATTAAAAGACTATAAATTGTGGCACTATGAACATCCTTTTTGTAAGTAATTTTAGCTTAACAGGCATTTTAATTCAAGCTACTAGTAATATAATTAAAAATATTTTAAAGCATGGAGATGTATCAAGGGAAATATATTAACCAAAGAGTATTTGGAGAGATAGGTTCGGATGGGATGGATTGAATTGATCTGGCTCAGGATGGACCAGTGTATGGCTCTTGTGAATATGGTAACGAACCTTCGGGTTCCATAAAATGCTGGGGCATAGATAATTAACAAATTAATTTCATGTTGAACGAGCTTTCTTGAACAGCTGATATTCACTCACTAAGTTAAGAATTACCTCCTATAAATGAGTGAAACTTAACAGACTGCTGAGTAGCTTAGAACAGAGTGCGTGAACTCGGGGTTCGAGCCGAGGATCACTGGAAGCAGGCCTACACCGGGGAATCATTCACCTTGTAACTTGTTAACTTAATGCAGCAGAACAGTCATTTAAAAACTGTTAGTCACTGAGCTGGCTAAGAAACTTCTTGCCGATATCGAATCTGAAGTTCATAACCGTATTCACAAAACCCCTCCATGTTATCCTAGTCTAGGGAACTTAAATCTATTCCACACTTTCATTACCTGTTTGTATAAGAGAGATTAACATTATCCCTGAGCATAAACACTAGACTATGACTGGAAATAAAGCTGCAGATATTTGAACCATGGCAACATACAACAACTACAGAACTGAGTGGAGAGCTTCACGCTTCGACAATTTACTACCCGGTACAGAGCATTCGATATTCACTGTACTGGAGATGGGTGACAAAGAAAAATATCCTTCCGTTTGTCGATATTCGAATCCAGGTCATCGAACCCGTAGCTAGTCAAGTTGATGAGTGATCTCTTTTTGTTTCGGTAAAATCCATTTTAATATTATTCGAACAGCACCTTCAGTGCCAATGCATCGCGTCTCCGCTGCTAATTCTATAAGGCAGTTCAGGGCGAGAGGAGACACCCCTCTTAAGAGATTTCCCCTAAATGGAACGTGAAGCTTCTACTGTGCAGTTTCAGTGGCACCTGCATTGGCGTGCTCTGTGCGCACAGGGCCGTGAATCCAACGATGTCGCTGAAGTACACAGTGACACTCTCGAACTGCTCCGGTCGAACCATCTCCCCTGCCATCAGCTGCTGAGCTACAGGCCTGTTCCAAAATCAACAAAATTATTTTAATAAACATCCCACTACATCGAATTTAAGTATTTTTTAATCTGTTCCTGTAACAGGCCTTGAAGATCCATTGGGTAGTGAGACGTTGTGGCACCCACATTTTCTAGACAATCGGCTCACAGATGGCGGTGAGGTTGTCAGACTTACGCGCCGGCCGCCCTTTACCCCCCAGGAAGATTTCTGGTACTCATTTCTGTTAGAGGCTGAGTCGACACCATGGCCATAGTGCGGCTGGAAGGATTAGGTAAGTTGAAAGTATCTACCTCATCGGGACTCGAACCCGCAACCTTCCCGCTTGTGCCTCAACCAACTACGCTACAGCGTGCCCACTAATTTCACTATAGTCCTGAAGAACTACATGACAAGAGCAGTGTAGTTCGAGGAAAGGCACAGACGTTTCGGAGGGATATGTCGCCTCTATCTTTAGGATTGGAGAACATGTCAATCAAGAAATCAGCAAGAATTAGGCAGTAAGTTCCCTCCTAGCCTACATAGATCCTGTGGTTTCCTCATGAGGGTTGAGCTGCTGGCTTTATGCTTCCTTCTGGCCTCTTGTTTGGCTTACCTGTCGACCCTGAAGGTGGGGAAGATGTGTTCCTCTTAAACGCTGGTTGACTTTTACCAGACTAGATGGAGCGATATCTCAGAACATATAAATCTCCTAGTCACCATTGTGAGAACCTCAAATCCAACTACTTAATATCCTAGTTAGTGACCAATTTATTACGCGCAGACGAGAGTTCAATTCAAATGCAATATACGTCTCTGTGCAGAGGACGATGTTCTGTGTTCTACGTGGTCTGACAATGAAGTTCGCGAACTCGTCGCGGTAAAAGTGCTACAAAACTCATTTCTGAATATCACTATGGTCGCCTTCAAAGTACTGCCCTTGGGAATCTATGCACAGATACCAGCGCATGGTCCACCCTTCAAAACAATTTTGGAACTGATTATGTGGACTGACCTTCAGAGTTGCCGTCGTATTACTCCTGGTGTCATCAGTGTCATCAAAGTGCCTCCTTTCAATATTTCCTTTACCTTCGGGAACAGAAAAAAGTCATTGGTGGCTAGATTCTGTGAACAGGGAGGGTGTTCCGGCAAAGTTATTTGCTCGAAAGCTAAAAACTTCCTCACAGACAGTGCCGTGTGAGCATGTCCTTTGGGACCATTTTGCACACCTTCCTAATGTCAAGATCTTCAGTCAAAATTTCCCTAACTGTTTCTCTGTCGATGTTAACTTGCTCTGCTATGCTCCGAACAGTCAGCCTACGATTTTCACGCAAAATTTGACGAGCTTTTGGTTTTCTATGGGCGATAAACGAACATTTCCGACTAATTTTTCCCATATCAAATATTAAGAGAACCTATAAAATGGTTTGCCGGTCACGGTAGCCGAGCGGTCTAAGGCATGCACTTTCTTCGCTCGCTCGGAAGCCGGGATCATGGGTTCGAATCCCACTCAGGGCATGGATGTTTGTGTGCGTTTTTCTGTGTTTGTGTATAGGTAGAGGCCTTGCGACGAGCTGATCACTCGCCCAAGGAGTCCTACCGAATGTGTAAGATCTAGTAAACCGAAGTGAAACGGAGAGTTTCATGGAGGTAGGCCTAGGCCCAAATTGGAGCTGTAGCGCCAGAGATAAAAAAAATAAATAAAATGGTTTATGCGATACATGACTAAAATCATTTTGACGTTTGCTATGATTGGTTATAGAGAAATGTAGCTAAAAGTAGGAACTACCCAACAACGTTTTACGTCAGTCTCTCTCATCGAATTTCAACAATAGCTGTAAAACGATTTATGTGCTAGGCCTATAGTCGGAAGTCCATTCCTTGCTGCTGTAAACCAGGGCTTATTATGTGTCAATATAACTGAAATTCTTGCCGGTCACATTCGCCGGCTTCGGGGTCTGAAGGGTGAACCGCTTCATCCTCTTGAACACTGGGATCGTGAGTTCGAATTCCACTCGAGACATGGATGTTCGTGTACGTCTATTCTATGTTTGCGTTTTCCTGTGAGCAGGTATCGGACTTGCCAAGGGCTGATCGCTCGCCCAAAGAGTCCTACCGACTGTGTATAGGATTAAGTAACTTAAAAAGCTTCCAAGATCAAAAGGTTATAGAGCCATAGAGAAAAGGAAAGAAACCGAAATTCTAAAATTCCCAATAACATTTAGTCTCCAATGACGAATTTGAAGAAAATTTGTGCAATGATATAGCCGCTCATAGTATATCACAGAAACAGACGTGCAGACAGACTGATAGAATAAACTCTGCGTAAGGCGTTTTCTTTTCTTATTGCAATTAACATCTATTAAGCAGAAATCTGAAAAGGCAATTACACAATCCTCAATGACTTTATTCTGGCTGTGGGAGAAAGGCCCCAAGTAACAGTGGATGGAAAATTCATAACATATAGAATGAGATAATTTCTGCTCTCTTTTCTGGTGCTCGGACAAACTTGAGAATGTTTCTTTTTAACAGCATTCGATAAAGTCGTTTACACTTACGGATCGCTACTAGACTACTACAGAATATAGGATAATATGAAAACTGTTCCGCTGGAAGAAATTAAAGGTAAGTATCTGTTCTTACACTACTGATAGTAGAACAGCAACGAAATAATATCTTAATATAATTATGAGCATCAAAGTTCGGATATTTATATCCGTGCGTTCCTCTAGAATGTTTGTCTCGTCCTTCCAGCTTATTTTTGGGCGTGCAGTGGATCTTGTTGCTGTAGGTGCAGCGTCCATTGATTTCTTTTGGATGAGTTCAAGTTCCATTCTTTCAATATAATGAATTATATTAAATGGATTGTTCTGAATTATGCTACTTGAATTCAATATATTTAGTTCGTTTATAATCATTTTGTTTCTAATTAAAACATTTAATGAGTATTTCGCCACATTCCTACAAATATAATTTCTTAATATTCAAATCAAGTTAGTATCTCTTTGAAGATACGGTGTATCGTAACAGACAAAACTTCAACGTCTCTGAAACTGTCCGCCTCCATTGTGAGGGACTGTCGTGACGTCAGTTTATCAGAATTTTGTTCCTTGCTGATGCTGCTAATTTCTCTAGAAGTCTTCTCAGTATTAATCCGTTATCAGTTGTTACGAATGTGAGCGAGCTTGCACTGTGTCTCACCTGGGCAGCACCTGATAGAGCAGCTCTTCAGAGCGACGCTTTTCCTGACTCAGCTGGGCAGTCTTTTCCTCCACCAAGGCCTCCAAGTTATTGGCATATTGTTCCATTCGTCTCAGCAGATCATCCATTAAGTTTTCACAGTAACCTCTGAGAGCAAAAATAAAAAAAATGGGCTACAGCCTTGATTATTGAAGCTAACCTACTTCTTATGACATAGATTTTTGCGAGTAAAAAAAAATCAGTTTAACTTGGTTTAAAAGGTAAACTAGGACACAGACATCATAAGGGTGCAGAAGGAAAGTTAATTACAACGAGATTCAGGAAACAGGAAGAGGAGAATGCGGAAGGAAATTCTAATAATTTGTTCTTCACAAAGTATAGTCTAACCATCTTCTTGTTAAATTTCCAGTAAGTTCCTCAATCAAAATTCTGTATGCATTTTTGTTTCTTCCATCCGAGAAATAATACTTCTGAGTTGGCATATAAGTTCTTGGCTGTAGGAATGGCTATTCTGATTGAGGGCTTTCGAGTGACATATTATGGGATGTAGATAGGTTGCTAGGCAACGACCGCCAATTAAGCGACTATACAGCAGCTGTTACTAGGTACTCCTCCAAAAGATATGAACGCAAACATTCCACGACAACAATTTCACTGAAACAGAGGCGTTGCTTTATACGCGGTCCGTGTCGAAATATTATAAGCAGGACAAGTGAGGGGTCATGAGTTAGTGAAGAGTTGGTTAGTCAGTGAGTTAGTAACAGGACTGCTACGGTTCAGTCGTTGTGAGCCCTTGCTGTGAAAAGCTGGTAGCTAAGGTCGGAGATAGTTCGGGAACCCAGAAGAAGGGAAACATCCGCCGTTGGAAGCCTCTGAGAAGCAACGGCAATGAAGACGTGACTAAATCGAATACGGTCAAATAAGACATGGTATGAGATTTATGAAATGTGAATCTGGATTGGTGCTGGACGAGGCCGTCTTCGCCTCTTTCGATTGGTCTATGTACTAATCCCACGCATGAATGGCCGCAGAATTCCACAGATAAAGCCAAGGCTATCAAGGAAGTGTAGTGTGTCTGAGGAAAATCACGCATAGTGTGAGTAAGGACAGCCTGTCTTCTGTCATTATTCCAAGCAGTTGCCTCCAAAATGTCATGCACACGCAAAATCGGTGTACATTCCCGCCAGGAAATTTAGCATAACAAAGAGCGATTTGTAAACTCACTTTCTGATGCACCTTATAATGCTTCTGACCATTTCAAACGTCGGCCTGTCGTCAGGGTTATCGGCCCAGCAACGCTCCATCAGTTCCGTCAGCTCTTCTGGGCAGTCGCGGGTCCCCACTACTGGTCTGAACGGAGGGGTTTCTCTGGCAGCCACCCGGGCAATGATCTCTGCACAACCGAACAGAACAGTCGTCAATAACACTATACAATACACAAAACACTTTTCCGATAAATGCGTGTGTTCTTCAGTGTCAGTTCACCCGTACCCAAAATAGTAATAATAAAAGGGACATTTTAACAAATTCGTTTAATTTGGTGCTCATAAACGGGAAGAAGACCAATTAAAGCGAAGTACTTTGTTTGTAATGTACTTACCTATAATTAATTACAAAAAGAGCTGGCAGTAACATAACAGTAGTGTCCAGACGTACGAAATACGTCTAATCTACAAACTAATCTTCAAGGAATGCGTCCTGTTGTATCAGTATACTAATTGCTTGTTTTATCCATCACAATACAACTTTCTAAATCTCGTTCATATCAACTGTGTATAACGAGGTTATTGACGGTGTGCTGCTAAATGTTTCGACTGATGAAAAGCCATCATCAAGCAGATATACACCAATAACTTATACTTAAACTACTGGATATCTTTCTATATGAATATATGGTTCAGTATTGCAATTATTACTAATGCATCAGATTTTCTATATTTCGCTAAAATTAATAAAAGTGTTGCTTTTCTTATATATCTATTTACCTAGAACAAAAACTTTATGTTAAATGATGTTAACAAATGCTCATACAGTAATGTAAAATATAATATAAATAAAATCATAAATTACAAAGATTTAAAATTATAAGATAAATTATAAGGGTTTATAATTTTAAAAATATACCTAGACGCTGATTCAAGATATTGCTACTTCGTGTTTAGGCATTTCATGTATTGTTATATTTTAATGCATATCGTTTCAAACATGACGTTATATTGTGTGGTGACTTACGGATATTGTTTTGGTTGTTATTTCTATTTAATTCTTCTATGAGGCAGTTGTGTTGTTAGGAACCAGTCAATGTGGTGTTCTGCATTGTTATTTTCCAGTCTTCTTTTTCTTTTTTTATTTATTGGTTCTCTATTTTCGTGTTTCAAAGTCCAATCTTGTTAAAAGTCAGCTAGAAAAATATTATTGTCAATCCCGAAACATCAAATTTAAATGATATTTCTTCAGCAGTTTCGGACAAGGAGCATGCTGACGTTGAGGAGAGTGGTCTGCCAGGCGCTCTCCTTTTTAATACGTAAAGGACAGCTTATAAATATAATGTCACTCTATTTGCTGTAACTCAAATAATAGAGAAGAGCCGTCCTCGCTTGAAGATGATACATGCTAAGTGAAAGGACGTGGCTACAGCTCTACATCTTCATCACCTTGAGGGTCCAGGAACTGTCTGGCAGCTTCAAACGGTCCTCCTCTCACGACGATTTCCTCCAGGATGATCGCGAAGCTGTATACGTCTCCCTTCTGTGTGGCTGGAGTCCCGGGCACAACTGTTGAGGGAATGAGTTCTGGGGCTACCCACAGAAGCTCTGCACAAAATGAAAAATTATTAACTTTATCTCCGGTATATGGGAATGCGTTCCTACTATCAACATAAATTCTGAAGTATAGATATAGTTCCATTTGAACTCTGCCGCCTTTGTGGTCTGGAGCTCAGAGTTAGAGGCTACAGATCCAGAGGTCATGGGTTCGATTCCTGGCGCTACCAGATTTCCTGAGAAGTAGTGGTTCTGAAACGGGACCCGCTCAGCCTCGTGAGGATAATTGAGGAGCTACTGGAATGGAAAAAGTCGCGGCTCCGGTCTAGAAAATCGGGATTAACGGCCGTGGGACTCCGTTGCGCTGACCACGCGACACCCTCTATCCGCTAAAGTTGGCAGTAACTTCGCCGACAAGCGGCGGTTGCTCGGTCGGTACACTTCGCTTGCGGACTAAAGTCACGGAATTTTTGGTTACATAATGGCGAGAAACTAGAAGGAAATATGAAGTTAATACACAAATCCAGTTCAACTGAGCTCATGTAATTGGGGAGAAAACCAGGAATGAAATTCGAAGCCTGGACGCAGTTTTACTTTAACCGAAATCTTGCTAGTTGCTATAAACTCGAGAATAAATTCAGGAATCAGGACCTATTTTCACTTTAAATAATTTATTTATACAATAGGGACACTGAAGTCTAGATATATTTCCAGTTTCATCCGAACAAAATACGAAGATCCTTGTAACCGATCTGCCGACCCCAGCTCGATTTAATTTAGTAGAATGTTTGGATCCGGGTAAATTAACATGTTCGATTAGGTTTACTTGTAACTTGCAGCAAATGAACGAGAGGTACATAGGCTATTTCTTCCCCTCAAGAAGGAATTTTAGCCCAAACTCTCGAATGAAGAAGACAAAAGAAAACCAACTGGTCAACGCAGATGCGAAGTGAAAGAGGAAGACACCCCGCAGCTTGGCTCTTTAGGAAGTCACACAAAATTTTACTTGTCTGAATCCTTTGAGAATACAATATGTGACAGTTTTGAACAACATAACTTAAAAGATGGGTGGTCTCTCAACCCCAAGTCAAGCTTAACATTTATGAAGCTACTGACAGGATTTACGTTATGTTTAGCGCCTAAATTCCCTGTAATACCTAAACGGATTGGGGGAATACTTAATTAGTGTACTCCCATTTTTTGAAAATGACCAATCCTCGTAATTTCGGGAGTTGACTTGTGGACCGAGACGACTCCGAGAGTTTCGAGGAGAAGGTAATCTGCAAAAAGCCGTATTCCAGATCTCAACCCATTCGGACGCAAATTCAAACTAATGCGGTAGTGGCGGCCACTATGGACAACAGTTTAATAAAGTGTCTTGTGCAACAAAGTGTGTGTGTTGAAATAGGATCTCCCACTTCCCTTCCTGAGCGAGACCCTACCAAACGGCCTGAGGACAGAATCTTAGCTCTACCGGCGGAACTAGCTACCCACGACCGCTACCCCCTTATCAATGCTTCACACCTTTCCTAAATCTGTAAAGTGATAGTAGCAGTTTACTAGCGCCCAAACAAAACCCGTTACCCTAAAGATCAGAGGTGTGTAAGTATGATAAGTGAAGCAGGGTAAAGCCAGCTGTAGCCGCCGTCGCCCGTAGCAGTCCAGCAGCCGAAGACCAACAAGAGGCCCGATTGGTCGGTTAGAAGAACATGGCACCCGACGTAGAGGCTCAATGGGTCGGTTATAAGAAGATGGAGCTTCCAAACGGTTACATCCTTAATGCATATTCCTTTACTTCCTCTCCGGTTCACATATTCTCCACAGAATTTAATTATCAAGCAGAATCAATCAATGTTTTTTTTTCATTAAATTGAAGAGCAAAATTTTTACACCCGTATAAAGGAAGAGAGGAAATTAAGGTTATTAGTAACAGACAGGAAGATTCTGGGTTAGAACCCCGTGTAGTTCGAAGAGAGTGCCGTATTCTACTGCACTCTTCATAGTGACTGCCGCGACAGCCTCAAGCACAAAAGGAAGATAAACGGTTCGTAATTGCTCATAAGCATTTCACCAATGCAATATACGAGTATATATCGTATAATCTGCTATTAAAAGCGCTGATAAATGACCCTCAATTAATATTTTTTTTTGCTAAAATAGGAGTTTGAACGGTGTCGCATTTCTTAAGAATTTAGTATTTATCCTCACAATAGACCACTGTAGGTCGCGGTGCAAGGGCCGAGAAGGCCCACCCCTTATACATCCATTCATATTTTATGAGTACTTTTCCAATCTGGTGACATTGAATTAATCTCCCATCTCTTTACTTCTAAACCAATATCCTTACTAGCATGTAAAGGAAATTCTGTGATCCTTTCTGTATGACGTATATCCCGTCTAATAAATTAACATCATCAGCTTGGAACAGAACCTGAAATGTTCTAGTCAGTTCTAAAGTAATCTATCCAAGACTTTCGATGAGCGATATTGGTGGGAAAGCCAGAAGGAAAGAGACAACTGGAAAGACCAAGGAGTACGTTGGTGGGCAATATTAAAATGGACCTCAGAGAGGTAGGATGGGATTGTATGGATTGCATTCATCTGGCTCAGGATAGGGACCAGTGGAGGGCTCTTGTGAACACGGTGATGAATCGTCGAGTTCCATCAAATGCTGGGAAATTCTTGAGTAGCTGCCGAATTGGCGGCTCCTCAAAAAGGGCTCAGCTTTATTAGCATTTTTTTATTGCTAGTGGGGTGAGACTAAGTCCCTTGTACTGCGGCCACTTCTGGCCTATTGTACCAGCACCAAATGATATGTGAGGGTGACTGTGGAGCAATTGGTGGAATGAAGATTGGCAGGGGAAACCGAAGCACTCGGAGAAAACCTGCCCCAGCGCCACTTTGTCCACCACAAATCCAACTTGACCAGACCCGGGATCGAACCCGGGCCGCCGCGGTGGGAAGCCAGCGACTAACCGCTTGAGCTATGGCGCGGCCCCCGCTTTAGTAGTAAGTAAGTGTTCAGAAGCAACGTTGGGTCCTAATATCCCTGAAGCCCCACAATAGACACTGATTATCACACATCAACCACCCCTATCTTATGAGCACAGGTAGTCCCCACTTATACTTACTCGTATAATACATCTGGTCCTTGATGATTTCGGATGGAGTGGTGAGAGTCTTGAGACCAAAATCCGAAATCTTTAATACGAATCGGCCATCAATAAGACAGTTGCACGAGCGAAGTTTTCCGTGGACTGCGACCTCAGAGCCGTGGAGGTATGCCATACCCTGGACATTGAAGATTATATATATATACATACTGGGCAGACATATCTACATGTTACAGTATTCTCCGTGCGCATGTCCGAAGCCGGAAGCTTTCAGGTGCGACTCAGAAAACTTGAATTACTAAGGGAAGAATTGTATGAATTGCGCATGTCTGGAATAAGAATCATTTAAGAACAACCCTTGTATAAGTACTCACAGAACTCGAATGAAAATGGGCATATCAGTATGGTTTATTTCAATTGAAATCTGGAGAATTCGTTGGATGCTAAAATATTGATTAGCTCTTAAAGGAAACTAAATTATATTACACCGTTTCTTTTTGTGGTGGATGCTCCACGTATAAAGCATGTTACAATTATCACTTCTCACACTAGGATATTAAGAAGGGGAAGATAAGTCGAAGATAAAAAGGACGAACAGAAAAGAAAGCGAAACGAAGAAGATGTTAGAAGAATGAATGAAAAGTAATGGCAGTAATGGACAACGAAGGGTACAAAGAGGGGAAGGAAGGAAATCGAAGTGAGAATATATAAATACAGGAAAAGAAAATAACGGTGGGGTTTAAAATGATGGTATCTGACCTAGCCTGTATTGATAACGTTGAAAATTACTTAATGAATGAAATTATGTCATTTTTAAATTGTAGGACTGCAGTTTCTGAAAATGTTTAAAATTGTGGTATGCAATGCTGTATAGTTTGGTAGATATTTATCAACGTTTAGGACGAACCTACTGTCCTCTTCTTCAGGGTAGGAGGATCAATCTCCTACCCTGAAGATGGAGACAGCAGGTTCCGCCAAACCGTAGATACCTATCTGCCAAAATACATGACGTCACATCCTAGAAAATTGTAATCTTAATATTGATCCCTGTCAGAAGCTCGGATCTCATAATAAGAATGCATTTACATTTTGGCAGATATGAATTAAATCATTGTATCTTTTTAGACCTAATACGTGTGACGTCAGGTTTCTGCTGCTTCACGGATTATTCTGAAGCCTCTCGTCCAGAGCGCTGTACGTACCTTGCTTAGCGGATTATTCTGAAGCCTCTCGTCCAGAGCGCTGTACGTACCTTGCTTCACGGATTATTCTGAAGCCTCTCGTCGAGAGCGCTCTACGTACCTTGCTTAACGGATTATTCTGAAGCCACTCGTCCAGAGCGCTGTACCTACCTTGCTTAACGGATTATTCTGAAGCCACTCGTCCAGAGAGACATACATACCTTGACAACGTCGTGTATGAGCGACATGCGGAAGTTCCAGTCCAGTTGCAATTCATCATTCTCCAGTACGTCTTTGAGGCTCCCCTTGGGGCAGTATTCCGTGAGACAGAGGACCACCGGGCTGTCTATGCATGCCCCCACGAAGCGCACAGTGTTCTCATGCGTCACGTCACGAACCTGTACCATCAACAATAGTAGTCGGTGTTTTCGCAGGAATTTTAAATCGTAGTTTAGTAGGCCTAGATACGTGTATGTGCAGAACATAAGACATATACCCTGTTTTCGTAAGAATTATTCTCACTATATAACATAGTTCTTTAATTTTAATGTTATAATCTCAGGTTCGGATCGAGTCCGAAAGTCTTTGAATGCTACAGTTACATTTAGCCAGAGCAGTCTAGTAGTTATCACAGGAACTATTCAGCTTACTCATGTACACAAAATTCTGTGTATATAGAATGAACTGGGAAGAGGCCTTGTGTATTGTTAGTCCTCTTATTTGTAGAAGTTTGCTTATTTCCGACAGAGAATTTTATAGTCCTGCCAAATTTAATAGGCTCAGATTACATGTTTAATGATATTTATGGGAAAAATATTTCCTTCTTGAATCATAAGATTTTTATCGTCAATAAATGAATATCATTACCTAAGATTTGCCGTGTGTATTCGTAAAGCTGGATAGAGGGCATCTGAAAAATGTGTGTGCTTAAAGTCTGAAACATTTTCCCATTCGTTTTTTATTTGTTTATTATAAACATTACCTAAAAATATCAGAGTCTCAACCATGAGGCTGTACAGACTCGCGTTACCTAACCTCTTCTTCCGAAGAAGAAAGTAATTATTTTATTATTAATTATTTTAAATGCGAATGGCTTTTTACCCAGTGGCAGTGGAACTACAATAAGACAAAACACACATCACGCAAAATAACACACCGCACTTAAACAAAACACAGCACACAAAACTACACACACTACACACAATGTTTACAATGCAAAACAATTACAGCTACAACAAATACAATTGCAACTATAATTATATAAATTAATATTAATAAAAAATAAATATAATATAAACTAAACAGAATGTTTTGAACTGATAGTCTGATGTTAAGATTAACAAATTTATAGGATTTAATTATTCAGTTCTTGGTACTTTATATAATTTTCCATAAATCTGAAAATAATATATAATTAAGTATTTGGCACACCTGTTTTATTTCCCATAGTAGTTGATTATTTATATCCAACTTCTTCTTGATTGTCACCTTCTTAATTGCCACCCTGGTTCCCTGAAACACATGTCGATTATTGCATTAATCATTCATCCCGATAAATTGGATATACCTGTGTATTAAAAGAAACCGATAGTAAAACATACAACCAGCCTCTAAATACGTGTATGAATATCTCTTACATAAATCTCTCCCTCTCCTTCTGTCTCTCTCTCTCGCCTGCTTGACTGACCCCTAGAGTAGCAGTGGTAAACTTCCAGTTTATTCCACTCACCTTGTAAATGCCTACGGTGGTGAAGACCCGAGTGGGAGGTAGAGAACTGCAGGACGTCACGGAGCCTCGACCCCGGTGCAGCTTCTCAAGTCCAGTCTCGAACGTCTGCTGTACCAAAAACAAAACACACACTCGCAGAGTATATTATACACATGTTTCCTCTTCTTCTAAAAACTAACAACTCTCCTTGAAAAAAGAGCAACTTATATTATGAATTGAATAGGGCCGTCAGCTATTATTGTACCTGTCACAGGGCGCTTAGTGTCCAGCGGAATTGCGGCTCATACCTTCCAGCAGATTGTTGCTATAGTGTTTGTACGTTTCTTATTAAGGCTGTTAATAGCTTCTGGGATGTACCGGTGTGTAATTTGGTTGTTTGCAAAAGTTTTGAAGAAATGTACTGCCTCAGTTTTCCTTCTATCATTAAGATGGAGGGAATATATTTCTCCGAACTTTCTGTATACAGATTGTAAAATACAGGACATAACAAACCTCTAAGATATAATAATCTTCATAATGATCTCCGTGACAACATCGGATCTCACATAGCTTTCATATGAACTACAGGAAATAAGCTTTTTGGCCTACCCAGGTTGTTTCCGACAGATACGAAATCCTTTAGGCCTTTTTTGTAACACTTCGGAACATGTTGATATTTTACGTTGTGTAGATGTTAGCCCACCGCCCAACCCCCAGACTGAAAGAATGCCCCTTATCTGTTTTTTCTCTCAGTTTATTCGATATATTCATAACTGTTCTTCACTTCTGGAGGTTGTCGTCTCCATCGGGAACTTGAGGACGTGTCATTCCGTCGTGAAGTGACTCACTTCCTAGTAGCGGGTTCCTGTGAACACAACAAGCCTTTGGGTTGCACAAATGGCGGGGAATTTCTTCACTAGCTGAAGGAGTATCAGCTTCTCAAAGAGGAATCTGCTCCGTGAAAGTGGTTAGGTAAAACTTTCCTGAAACGACACACATTACAATGATATAAAAGGGAAATAATGCAAATTTCAGAAGAATATAATATTGGAAGAATCGATACATTCCTTTACTAGTTGATGACGTTAAGGTAGATCGAAACAACGTAAATAAAACGCTGTTTACTTCGAAGTAATACACGTGTACCTACGTGTATGCAAATTTCTTTGGTACTTCTTTGATTAAAGTAGCAAAATTATCATTGTCCAGAATTCTCAGACCACGAAAGCACAATAATTACGTTGTTCAGGATATTACTTACTTCTCATTACATCAAAATAGATAGTGGGCTAAATCCACGGAGTGTAACTGTACAAGAATGTATGTGTGTGTGCGTGTATGTGCGTGTGTACGCGCTATTCAGGCGCGTTCGCAGCTATCAGACGCTCCTGTTATCTTTGCTCAGTACGTCTGTACACAGGGTACAACTAGAGAGTAGCTGAACAGATTTTCATTCATCCTGATAACGGAAAACTCTACGAAGGTTTGCCAAGCCACTCCAATTTTTATTTTAATCGGTATGTTTAACGATGACATTACATGAAGAAGTGTATGCATTTCTACAAGCATCTGACTGAGTACTCATCGGAGAGGAACGGAAGTTGCGGAGAAGCGAGATAGACACATTTTATATAAAATAAATTTTTCTGGAAATCTTGTTTTCGATGTAGTTAGACAAAAGGAGTGTTACGCTCACCATTTCGAAATTTCTTATTCAGCAATCATCATGGCCTGCAGAAACAATTGCGCCCAAAGAGGATGAAAATTTTTCTTGACTTTAAATTGCGTTAAAATCTTATTTCTGTTCCTCTAATGTAGTTTGTGCTATAATAAAATGTTTAGGCGTACATTAAACAATAATTTTTGTTCAGCCCTGATGATATGCTCACTCAGTAGACCTCTACAGATACGGTTTCTAGACAATCTGAGTATCATAACATGACAGTGAAAAGTTGCATGCGAATTTTATGTTTGTTTATTGCAAGGAAAAGTTCATTGTGTTCGTAATTGCAAGATTTGAGATTTTCACGGCGGCGACTATGAAGAATTCCGTCTTCTGGGATGTGATGCCGTGTAGATCTACTGTAAATCGATGTTTCGGAAGAACGTATGGCCTCCATCTTCAGGATAGAGATATCCGCGAGCGAGGAACCAGAGTGAACAGGTAGCTGCAGACTCTACAGACAGAGTTTAGCGTGTGGCGATCAAATTATCATTATCCCTTGTGCTACAACAGCTGCATCTTTGTGAGCAAGGTATCCCGCTTCACGCTTTTCTGTATATATATATCCAGTACTTGGACTTCGTAAAGGAAAAGCAATACAATGCAATGATTTTTCAATTGTTTCAATTCGCTCGAACCCGTCAGAAAACAAGTGGTATAAAATTAATTAAAATATTTCAAAGTACTAAGTAATGCTACAAATCTATCACGAAATGAGTATATAAGCTTATGTAAGGTGTATATTTTTCTAAATTCCGGCTTTCTCAGGTTCACTGGCCCACATTATCCTACACAGCTCAGGCCTTGCGACAGTGGGTTAAGAATCACAGATGTCCCGAAATTCGGGGCAAACATCAAAGGCCTAGCTGGAAATGGGATTTCAGTTAAGAAAGTCAAGTTGACTACCATCGAAGCGCTTGACCTGTTATTCCGTACCCAGTGCCCATTTTTCTCTGTTCCCTCTTATCGACTTCGAGGCAAACGAAGAATATTTTGGTTGGTTGTCATTGTAACAAGATGCTACGAAATTTGACAATGCTGTTTATTGGTGGTTCCTTGGGAGACATAAGGCGTCCATAAGTTGCAGCAACGCTGGGAAAATGCTGTTGTATGTATGATAAATGTGGCTGCATTACAGTATGAAATCAGGTGACTAGTTTCTGCTCAAAACATGGGAATATGTTAGAAATAGGAACTTCGTTTAGTATATCAAGGGAAATTGTAGAATTGTTACATTCTAAAGATACAGACCATCTGCACGCCACTATGCAGGTCCTATAGATTTAATTCTAGGGTTGGGCTTTTCGAATCCAGGGATTGGGACTGTATCAAATGAACCAATCAGTGAATTAAATGTTTCTTTTATTTCCTACATACAGCATCATGTCTAATGTTATTCAGTTTCTATTACATACAAAGTTAAAACAATTAACATCGAAGAAAATTACTTTAGTTGATTTCCTAACCCCTTGCAAAAACTTAAAAAAATTACAAATATTAGGCAAAATATTTAACCATCATTTTCATATAACATTATAAGACATTACTAAAATAAACACGATTTTATCATCTATTACATAAGCACGATTATGTATACATCTATATATGTACGTGAAACCTTCAGTCAAACTGCAATAACTTGGGCCGTAACTATGATTTCCTTAGGCTTTTCTTACCTCATTCTTCTGAAGGCCCAATCGAGATGAAAATGGCTTTCCGACTTCCAAAAGAACTTCCTCTGGCCGCACACGCCATGACATGTTGTTCAGATCAGCCGTGACCTGCATCCTTCTGTAAATCACAAATATCATTTTATTTTATCGATGGAAATTTAAAAATTATCGCACTAGACCTACTTAAAACAATTTTACTTTACTTTACTTTAGGTCAAAACTACCTAAAGAAACATATTCTTTAAAGGACGGGTTCGGGCCGCGCCACAGCTCAAGCGGTTAGTCGCTGCCTTCCCGATCCCTGGTCTGGTCAAGTTGGATTTGTGGTGGACACAGTGGCGCTGGGCCAGGTTTTCTCCGAGTACTTCGGTTTCCCCTGCCAATCTTCATTCCACCAATTGCTCCACAATCACCCTCACCTATCATCTGGGGCTGGTACAATAGTCCAGAAGTGGCCGCAGTACAAGGGACTTAGACCCACCCTACTAGCAATACAAAAAGTACAGGTTCGGATTTCGATATCATATGCCAACTTCGGTGCAACAAATGTAGATTTAAAAGTACATATTTCTCCCCTAATTGCAGCGTGTCACACGAAGCTTTGCCAGAAATTAGTTATTGTTGTGTTCACGTAAGAAAGTGGATGAGTGAAGACTCGCTGCACCGAAATATAAAGTTGAGACGTCATTAGATCTGCTAGAGAAATGACTGTTCACCAGACGAATCTATATCATCAGAGTATTCTTGCGACTTAGCAATTCTCGCCTGCAATAATTAAACTTTGACTCTATATTGTGTGTGTAAAATCTATATTACGGGGGGGGGAGTCATCGCTTCTTAAAAACAAGAAACTCCGTGGCCTGTAGTCCGCAAGCGAACTATACCGACAGAGCAACCTCCACTTGTCGGCGAAGTTAGTGCCAATTTTTCGGATAGTGTGTGTCGCGTGGTCAGCGCAACGGATCCCCACGGCCGTTAACCTCGGTTTTCTAGACCGAAGCCGCTATTTCCTTGAAATAGCTCCTCAATTAACCTCACGTGGCTGAGTGGGCCCCGTTCCAGACCCACTACTTCTCAGAAAATCTGGTAGCACCGGGAATCGAACCCGAGACCTCTGGATCTGTAGCCAGGAACTCTGACCACTAGACCAGAGAGACAGTCATTCTTAAAAACATAGTCAAAATAATATAAATAACGGCCAGAAACACTATTTTATAACAGTAATATATATTAAATTGTGATATTTGCTAGATAAAACTAAGATAAGAAAGATTAATTTCTGCTCATGCATTTTAAGTTTCACCACTTCATAATCCACGTCACCGCGCAACTACCAACTAATTGTCATCTTGTTCAATTTCAAGAATAGCTGGCTGTACTTACTTGTAAGCTATGCAGGTCAGGGTGATGGCGAAAGACAGGAATATTCCGAAGGCAAATGATGCATATAAAATCATCACGTATGCTTCTGCAAAAAGATGATAAGTATTCGTCAGAGTAACCACATAAATAACTAAATGAGCACATTTTCAGACTTCTTATGAGAATGTCATATTTTCTTATGTAGCGGAGGGAATCACAAGCTTTAAGGAGTGGGGGGGATCAATATAAAGTTCTCATGGCGATCATGCATTTCAGCTGCACCTGATGCTTCAGTTCATAACAGTTATGACCATCCATCTATACGGCTATGCATAATGACGGTAAGATCTACAAATTTGTGACAATGGTACATAGCTACAAGTATCATGTTTTGGACATTATCCGTCGTCTTGTCTATATTTAAAAGCCATTCTGTTTATTTTTCAAAACACAACGTTTCGGAGACTGGATTCTCTCTCCGTCGTCAGGTAAAACCTACCCAGTTGGGCCCAAGCGATAGAGCTAGTACCTATCTCCCGAGACGGAGACAGAATTCAGTCTCCGAAGTGCTGTGTTTTGAAAAATAAAGTGGACGGTTTTTGGATAAAGACAAGACGATTTATATTGTCCAGAAACATAATATTTATATAATGACAATGTTCAAACTTCTTTTATCTCAATTTGTTAGAAATTGCTACGGAGAATTTACATCTTTTAGTACACAAGATGAAGTCATAACGGATATGTCGTGTCTCTTAGTGAGTTACATTTCGTCTCCGAAGCTCGACGGACGCATGCTAAAGCGGTAATTAGTGTAGCACTAAAATTTGGTAGGCCGATTTAATTTTGACTCTATCTGACCAACATAATCATAAATTTAAAATAAAATTTAATTGACTCCCTCAGAATTGTTTACATGAAAGCTCATTGTGCAGTATAGACTAAGACTTTAGGCAAGATCTCTTGGTCTACAACTCTTGTTTACAAAATTGTTCAGGGGGTGAACATTTGACGAAATACAAGTAAAATAAATGTTGACCCTTATGCAAATAATCCATGGTCGAAAAGCCGAACCTGCAGGAACTCTGCATCTACCAAACTATTCAGTGGATTAACTCGTCCATGTGGGGGACCCTCATAGATATAACTTAGCAAATAACTAATAACAGTGAACCTTGCTTCGAGTCTTAGGAGGCAGCTACCTACACGGACATCATGGCTACTCACTAAATTAGTTTCTAAGTTAGAAGTATACACTCAGCCTCAAAGAGAGGAAACTTAGATTGAGAAGTAGTTACAATACCAAAGACTGCGGTTAATTATCATCTTATATATTCTTTACATGAAATGCACAAATCAGAGCGACATAAGTACAGATAAATTTGCATAGACAACATAAAAGAAAGAATCATTTTTATCTGGAATCATATGCTATTCGCGAGTTGTAAAACTGCTGAGATATTCAAACGTGCAACTGTTCAAAACTGATCAGGAAGAGAAAAGCATTACACAGAAAGTAAATGAAGATAATAACATACTTAAAATGGGAAATACTTACAAGCAAGCATTTAAGGTTTCTCCAGAAGATACTGAAACGAAGTTACAATGGCGGCTTAAAACAACAGAATGAAACTAAAACAGAGAACAAAGCACATTTATTACCGTCAACGCCAAGCACATTTAAGGCATACAAATCTCTGAAATATTTACACTCACATAAGTAAACAGCGAGTCCTGGACTAATTGAGCCGAGTTCTACTCACCCACCTAAATATTTTAACACATTTAAAATTATCATATCATAGTCGTCTGTGTTATTGTTTCTGCTACAGATGTAATTAACTAAAAATATCTCAGAAATAAGACCGCCTCTGTGGTCTAGTGGTCCGGGTTCGATTCCCGGCGCTGCCAGATTTTCCGAGAAATAGTGGGTCTGGAACGGGGTTCACTCAGCCTCGTGAGGATAATTGAGGAGCTATTTCAAAGAAATAGCGACTCCGATCCAGAAAACCGAAATTAACGGCCGTGGGGATTTGTTGCGCTGATCACGCAACACCCTCTATTCGCTAAAATTTGCACTAACTTCGCCGACAAGCGGCGGTCGCTCGGTCGGTATAGTTCGCTTGCGGACTAAAACCACGGAGTTTTCTATCTCAGAAATAAAGACAAATTGGAATAACTGCCTACATGAAAGAGAGTCCTTTCTGAAAACCTAACAATCGCTTAGTTAGCTACAGAGTCCGAGCCAAAGCTCAGGCGATTAGACTCCTACTTCACATCGCGGTGGCCCTGTTTGTGTCCCGGGCAAAGTGGCACTGGGGCAATTTTCCTCCTAGTACTTCGGTTTCCCCTGACAATTCTCATTCCAACAAATGCTCCAAAATCATCTTTTACGCGGAACTGGTACAATAGGTCAATTAATGGCTGCCGTACCAAAGGACTTGTCTCCCCGACCCCTCGAAACTAAAAAATAAAACAGTCAGTATAATCCGTGTGCCGACCGAGATTCGAAATTGGCACCTCCATAGTACAAATCAGAAGCGCTAACTCTCTTCCCATCTTGTTCGAACAACTGTTCCAAGCCTATATAGGCCTATGTGTCAACAAACACAGAACATTGCGTATTTCATAATTGAAAATTTAAGTACCGTTATTTTCTATACAATAAAAAGACAATGTGATTAATTACGCACTAACAATGCAAACGCATCGGGACTGCAGGTAGTTCCGCTCGGCACTAGATTGAGGTCAGTGGTTACTTTTACCCCCGCTTTCACCCGGGGAAGAGCTACGGGAACCGTTGGACAGGAAGCTGTGAAAATGAGACAAAATCTCTTGTCCCTGCCGGGAATAGAACCTGATTCTTTATTCTCCATCTCATAGTCTAGTGGTTATACCGACATTTTCTAAATAATAAAGGTACAAGAAGAAAGTCCTGTTACGATATGTTTCATGTCTTAAACCGCTAATAGAATAATGTTTATCATTTTTCTATCTACACAATCCTGGTATAAACACCATACGTTTGCATGTACTAAATTTTCGGCCTGTTGTGGCCATCAGGTACGCAGAGCCTTTACAATGACCCCCCCCCCTTCTATCTTCTATGAATTATCGGAACCGAAATTTTGCAAAACCAAACGCATTTGTTTCAAATAGTTTTACCTACTGGCCCATGAAATTCACTTTGCCGACTGGCTTAACTCCTAGGATTCTGGACTCACAGATATTGGATAATGTATGTTCGTACTTACGTAGGTCAGATCTTCTGCTCTGAAGATGGTGGAAACAGGTACTCTCGAAACAATGGTGTCCTTGTACCAGGCGACACGGCGTCACACCCCAGACGACCGTATTCTCAGATGTTGTCTTATGTAAACTTATATTGCGTATGTGAGGAACATAAACATAAAATGACAAAATTACCATTGCTGTGGCAGACTGGGTCATTGCCCATGAAGCCACAGGGCGGGATGTCAGGTGGGGGTCCCTCCCTGCTGCCGGGCCAGTGGATAGTCTTGTCTTTAACCGGCGTGTAGTTGCGAGACAGCCCGTAGTAGTGCGCCACTACCTCGAAGCGGCCAGTGATGGGGTCCAAGTCCAGCACGGAGTAATCCGCATCTCGGTCACCACTGTCGTCAATCCTCACGTGACCTGTTATCCCTGTCAGCAGTCAGGCGGTCAAGCGTAGCATCATTAGCTTTTGCCGTGGTTTAGCGCCGGTTCAGGTGTTAGTTCCACATACAGTGCGTCAGCTATTCGTAAACTACAAGGAAGCTTTTACATAAATATAACTAATAAGTCCGTTGTCTTTATTCCACAAGTGAACTATACCGACCGAACGACCGCCGCTTGTCGGCGAGGTTAGTGCTGACTTTTGCGGATAGAGGGTGTCGCTTGGCCAACGCAACGGATTCCCACCGCCGTTAATCTCGGGTTCCTAGACCGGAGCCGCTATTTCCTGTAAATAGCTCCTCGAGGTTGAGTGGACCCCTTACCAGACCCCCTACTTCTCAGAAAATCTGGTAGCGCCGGGAATCGAACCCGGGACCTTTGGATCTGTAGCCAGGAACTCTGACCACTAGACCACAGAGGCGGTCAAATATAACTAATATCAACAGTATTTTACGAGAATGTCTTTGAATTCTGTTCTTCTGAGATAACCAGAATGTGTTTAATCGAAACCTATGGCATATTCCCTCCAGGCCCAATACAATCAGGAATGATTGAAATTGATTAGGGAGATCATATTCCCGTCAGTTATGATGTTTAATTTATCTGGCGAGGTCACAGATACGTTAAATAAAAAGAACTCTCAAATTACACACCAGTAAGTTGGTCGGTTTTAAGTGAGTGCCGTAAGATATCTTCAAATTAGAATACAGAACAATATGGCGTCGGCACGAGTTCAACTCTCAGCACCTGGTTTGATGGAGATAAATATATAACAGTCGGAGGTTGTGAATTTTACTGTGGAATCAGCACAAATTACAACACCCAACACTTTTACATAGTGAGAAATACAAACATAGTGGTAGTGGGAACTTTGAGTAATATTGGACAAGTACATGTAGTTGGATTGTGTACTAGTGGAAGTTATCCATAGAAACTAAACACTTATTTGTGCAGTTATTACTTTGTAGTTAACAGTAGCTTCAGTATGTAGATTGAAACATGTAAGGGAACGTAGATTTGAGGGTACTTCTTGGATTGTCAAATATTTTGATGGGTTGTTATCAAAAATTCGGAGAGAAGTCTAGAAACCCGAGATTAACGGCTGTGGGAATCCGTTGCGCTGACACGCGACACCCTCTATCCGCTAAAGTTGGCACCAACTTCGCCGACAAGCTGCGGTCGTTCGGTCGGTATAGTTCGCTTGCGTACTACACGCCACGGAGTTTTTGTGTGCTACATCCTTTTTGGGAGTAGAAGAGTATGATAAAATAGAAACTGGAGGCAGCAGGTTCTTCTGAAAATTTTATGACGATCTACCAGACTGCAAGGCGTCACATCATGGAATAAAACAATTTTCACCGTTAGCCCCTGAGTACCTCAAGACTCGTTAGTTGTCTTCTAGATTTGTTCCAGTTTCTGGGATATAGCGACATGTAGGCTTTGCTTGCTGCCTGCTTCATGCTGGTTTCTTGTTTGTCCTACTTTTCAGCACCAAAGATAGAGGCGATAGGCTCCTCAAAAACTTTGGTTGACTTTTAACGGACTACACGCCGTTATATCCTTAACGCAATCACCGCCGCGGGAGCCCCAACCCCTACTTGGTGCCATGAAATTATTCCCACTACTTGTTTCTTAAATCACACTTTTATTGTGTGCGCGATGTTAATCTCACCATGAAAGTCGCGGTTCCACATGCGTCGTGTGATGGCGGTTCCGTTGTTGATGTCTCCTCCTTCTGATAATGTTTCGTTGAGTGCCATACCAAGCAGGTAAACGCCGTCATAGAAGGCGCCAACAAAGAAGTTCACCTGCGGATCACAAGGTGTGTAGAATATGTGAAACACAAGCGCCTCTGATCACCAAAATATAATGCGAATTATTCATAAGCCTATTTGTTCCATTCACAATGATTCTAGATAACAGATTTTGAATAAGGAAGTCTAGAATGTTTACGAGAAATATGGGTCGGGATCGAATCCCGATGAGGTGGATTTTTTCAATTTACCTAATCCTTCCAGCCGCACTATGGCACTCATCGCTTAAACGAATTTCTGGTTTCGAAACTACGGCCATGCTGGGGTTCCAAAAATACAATAAGCAGAGTGTGTACCTCTTCTCCTTCGGAGAACGTATAGTTATAATCCTGTTGAGCCAGGCGGCGAACGCTGTCAGCAAATTCCTGGAACTTTGGACTTGTGGGTGTCAGCAGTGACACACGCAGAAGAGCTTCATACGCCTTCTTGGCCGTGTGGTCTTGTCGGTCCCCTACCTGCCAGTCATGGTCACTCCAATACGGACCCTGTTCAGCAACAAACATCACTGCATGGATCGTCCTTCTGATCCGACCCAGTTCAGCCGACTGCGCACAAGTAGATACCTTAATATCAATGGAATTTCCACTGTTTGGTGCATTTTCTTGGGTCCTTTGGGAAAGTACATGTCAAAGTACGCAACAGTCAACTGGTATAAAAATCTAAAGCTTGCCGTTCTGTCCTATTCGGTCGTTACGTAGCAGTGGAGAGCTGTTAGTGATTATGGATACAAGTGCCAAGCGGAAGTGGGATGTGCTGATCCGTTGCGATCCCCACTTTTGCCGAAAAACTCCCTTTGTTAACAGCGTGCATATTCAGTGAAATGGTGATTGGGAGTATAAATGTGGAAAAACGAAAGAGTTTTCTGTGGAAACTGTAGCTATAGTTCCGTATTCATTTCGAGTATTTTTCTGGTTTCTTGCATTTAAGATAATTCAGACTAAGATGTGACTGCTTATTACAGCACTGGAAGATTATAAAGTATACATACGAGTAGAAAGGAATGGAGCAGATGTTGGTGATGTCCTACATGTGGTTATTACATAAATATACTGTATAAATTGGCAGTGTTTATTTTGTATCTGAGAACCAAATTATTCAAACAACGTCTGTTATATGTGGTCAAGTTGTGACTAAAAATATATATATCTGTTGCTTATTGGTGAACCAGACAGCGATCAGTAAGATAATCTGTTGCCAGATGAAGAAAAATATTAGGTATTGCCCAAGAAGATTAATTTTATTCGCATCCCTTGCCGAAAGTGTTTTCTTCAGCTACAGTACGTCTCATTGAATGTAGATGTTCTTTTTTTTTTAATAGAATTTTATAAGTGACTGAGGTTAGGTATTTCTGATTTTAACAATTTCCCGTTGGAATGTCAACGGACTTTTTGCTAGTATTGTATAACTGATGAAATTACGTCAAGTTTTGTCTGTACAACTGACAAGATAACACGAACCACATTAACACATTAATCACATTAATTTTCTCATACAATTAATAATGTGATGGGCGTGCAGTATCATTCATTAGACCTAGTGATTTAGAATAGGTGCTCCTAACGGACCAAACGACGTCGGAAACTTCCATCTTATACCTGGTGACAGAAACATTTTCCGAGGTGTGTTTTGAAGAAATTCAAAACCATGAACAGTGTCCGAAATAACAGTCATAGTTATTGAAGTATGTGTTATTCACATTCTATCGGTGTCTACAAGTAACTTTGTTTTAATAAACGTTTCGTCCCTTTAAATATGGTTTATATAGAAAATCGTGATTATTTTCTACCTGGAATATCTCTACGTCCAGGAAGGTCCAGTCACCGCGAGTCATCCCTAGGGAGTATGCAGCCAACATGAACTTCCGCACAAGAACGCCACGGACACTCAGGATCAGCACTACAACAACAAAGGCATTTCCTGTATAACAGGTGACGTACACAACAGTATTTTACCAGCGTCTGTAGTAACATATACAGAGGTTGATGGCAGGAACGTGAGAAGAGCTGGATCAAAGAAGAGGAAGTAACAACTGCATAACCCACCGCGGCGGCCCGTGTTCGATCCCGGGTCTGGTCAAGTGGGATTTGTGGTGGACAAAGTGGCGCTGGGCGGGTTTTCTCCGAGTACTTCGGTTTCCCCTGCCAATCTTCATTCCACCAAATTCTCCATCATCATAATCACCCGGGGCAGGCTACAGTAAGCCAATCAGTGGCCACCTTGCCGAGTGGACCCAGTTGGACTCCACCCCCAACTAAGCGACCAATTGCATAATACGTAAATACGTACATGACGGAGAGAGTACGAGATGCATGGCATAAACCAAACATGTACAGAAGAACTGTGAAAACCTGAAGAGAAAGGCCACTTCGGATACTTACGACTTCAAGGGATGGATAGAACAGAAATACAGTTATAATAAACAAGGAGAGTGTGAAGATATGGATTGGCTTGAACTGTCTCAGGATAGGGTCCAGTGGCAGTATCTTATGAACACTGAAACAAACTTTGCGTCCAATATGTGGCGGAAAATTATTTCACCCTTTTAGCGACTATATTAACGAGGACTCCTCTCTTCCGTGGAGTTAGTGAAACTTCTAAGAGTTTGCCATATGATATTCAACAGATTGCGGGAAAACTAAGGTCTACTTAAGCTCATACGTTACAATTAGTAATGACGTCATCCTCATTGAAGTTGGCCGCACTGTAGCGGTGTCTCTGGCGGGGGCGCATCATGGACCAGGGGGTGAGTTGGGACACGGTTTGGGACATTTCCTTGTGGTCCCGCTGGACAACGTCAGTCTCAGGGTCTGGATTAGTATGACAAGTCGGGACTGGAGGCTCAGCTCCATAAACGGCAACGACATCTTGCGACCGAAGCCTCCCACGTGACGGCATTATGACTCGGGTATTACTATGGTTTGCCCGGGACGAATGCGGGAGGGTACTCGTATGGGGGTAGCTCCGGCTACTTGAGCTGTCTCCCTCGAGAACATTTAAGGTGCCGCAACACTTTAAAACGGTTTAAACAATCCATGTGGAGGGGTGGGAATAAGGAGTGACTTGCCACCCCAGGGGCGATCCATTCATGCGGCTTACTCTGGTCGTAACCTCATGGCTAGCTAGTCTCGCACCCCCATTTTTTACCAGGGTTACCCCCTTCCCCACGATCGTTCACTTTAGGCCCTGGAGGCTCATCGGGAGTTTATCCGCTAAACCCCCTAAGCCAATGTGTGAGGCATAGTGCCGAGGGCTGCGTGGCACTGGGGTGGAATTTAGCCAGTGTCGTGAACGATCCCCTCGGGACACCAGGCAGCACCCCGTTGTATTTATGCCTTCCGCATGTATTTGGCCCTGCGGGTGGTGACCTTCTAAATTCCCAATTCTCGTGGAACCACTCTGGAGACCAAAACAAAAGAAAATGGACGTGAAGATCTAAAAAGGAAAAGGGACTCCCGTTCATGGAGATCCCTATGAGAAATACTTCAGCAGGGAGCTGGAAGCACCTGTGCACCCTTAAGAGGCCTAGGTCGAAGGGTAGTACTCCTACGAAAACGACCAGACTTACAAAAATACCCAGGGACTCTAGGGGACCAGGGACCTACAAGGAGGTGCCGAACAACATAAGGAAGCGTATCCTGAAGATAATCTAACAGAAGAGGACCTGAACTACATCCTCGAGGAACTGGGAAGGAAGTTCCGTGGAACTCTTTTATGAGAACTATTACACCTGAAATCTTACAGACTGGAGGGAGGTGCATTAATATATATATATGCGCCGACCAACGGTCTGGTCAGTGGCTCGTTAGAGTGGGCTGAGAGCCAAGGCAAGAAAGCTATCTAATACAACGAAATGAAGTGGTCAGTGGAACAGCTGTTACAGCATAGAAATAAGGAAAGTCAAATGATACTCATGAAGATCATGGCAGAGCAGGCAACAAACAGAGTTAGCACTATTAATCTACCTGATGGTCAGTATATTCAAACTGGAAGGGAGACACTGAAAGAGTTATTGAGAGTTCACTTTCCTCATTCACAGCTGATTGATGATTCAGGTGATGGACAGGGTCAGCGAAACCCGGACATATACGGACGCATAACGAATAGGGGACTGGAAACTAGCCAAACGTGTGATCAATCAATCAAAAATGAGACGGGAGCTAGGGACCTTCAAACCATTTAAATCTGCGGGAACAGATGGAACTGTACCGGTACATCTGCAGCAAGGGATGGAACATTCAGTCGCACAGCCGTGCCGCATATTTAGAGCCTGCATGGCTTATGGATCTATCCCTACAGCTTGGAGGCAAGCTAAAGTGACATTTATTCTAAAGTCCCGGAAACTTGATGATACCGAGGCTGTACCTCTGGCGTACATGCTGGCGTCCTTGAGATAGTGGTCATACTGCTCCTCGTCGTTGCCGTCCAGCTCTCGCACGAACCGCAGCAGTCCCTGCTTCCTGAGGCCGTGCTCCAGGTTCTTGCCTGCAACACTCAACGCACGTGTGCATTAACGTGAGACGCGCCCGCTGTGGCACCCGTCCTACTTCATGGATTCATTGTCAAGATGCTACAAGCCTATGTGTGCGATCTCCAAGCTCCCTGTATGTCTGTCTGTGAATCCTGTGAATGTCTGAACCAATCTTCATGAAACTTGGTATGTAAATCATGGCACCTGAGTCCATCTCAACGGCATGCTTCACAAATCACACCCATATATATGAATATTCCTTCTATCATTGCTAGGCAACGGCTCGGTAAACACGTTCCCATGGCAACGAATATACACAAAACAAACTCCGTGGTTTTAGTGCGCAAGAGAACTATACCGACCGAGCAACCGCCACTTGTCGGCGGAGTTAGTACCAATGTTAGCGGATATAGGGTGTCGCTACACTATCCCGGTTCATTATACAGGCTGTTCTTCTGAAAATTAAAAAAAGTTAGAAATTGTTGTCTAAATACCGTGAGCTAACATTGCTTACATGGACAGCCAATTACACTGATTGGAAAGTTCCATTCTTCTCCACTAAAATTAGATGAAATCACCGATCATACTGCGGAAACTAAGACTAGAAATAAAGATTTTTAGTGACAAGTTTTATAGTCTTCTCCTTCCTCCTCCCCCTCCTTTGACAGGTTAGGTCATCTGACCTGTTCCAGTTTCAGAATGAATTGAACCTATGAATCTCACGGACAGTTGGTAGGACTCCTTGGAGGGGGGATCAGCCTGTCGCAAGGTCGCTATCTAGACAGACCCACACAAACACAAAAAAAACGCAGCCCTGTATTCATACCTCGAGGGGCATTCGAATCCAAGATCATGGTGCTAGAACGGGCGAAGACATTTCTTACCTTAGACGGCAAGGCTACTGTGTTCGGCCGATTTTTATATTACATTAATAATTTTCTTTTTGGCTTCATGTATACTTACACTGTTGAACACAACTTTTTAATAAACGTCTATGATTTATCTATAGCACAATCTTCTTTTCAGTGAGAATTATGTGTTCATTTATAAACATGTTAATAGGCCTTCAAAATCCATTCAAAAAGTAGTGGGAATAGGCAGAGTTTGTCTCGGCGTGCATCGCTCCTATTCTCTGTTCCACTTGAAATCAACAAACTGTTTCCTGCACACAGTCTCTCCTTGTTTAATCAAGATCCAGTTCTATTAGTACGTGTTCCTAGAATACTTGGACTTAATTAAGATTCTACAATAAAGCTTGTGCACAACGGAACAGGACATCAAATTGTCGTTTGTTACTATGGAGATGACGACACTTCAGAAGCATCGTTACATGAGCTCAGAGAAACATAAGAAGACAGTTTCTCAAACACTCACTCCAGAAGAATCGATATGTCAGCTCACAGAAACAGAAGACAACAGTTTCTCAAACATTCACTTCAGAAACATCGATATGTCAGCTCACAGAAACAGAATAAAACAGTTTCCCAAATGCTCACTTCAGATGCATCGATATGTCAGCTCACAGAAACAGAAGACAACAGTTTCTCAAACATTCACTTCAGAAACATCGATGTCAGCTCACAGAAACAGAAGACAACAGTTTCTCAAACATTCACTTCAGAAACATCGATATGTCAGCTCACAGAAACAGAAGACAACAGTTTCTCAAACACTCACTTCAGAAGCATCGATATGTCAGCTCACAGAACAGAAGAAAACAGTTTCCCAAATGCTCACTTCAGAAACATCGATGTCAGCTCACAGAAACAGAAGACAACAGTTTCCCAAATGCTCACTTCACAAGCATCGATATGTCAGCTCACAGAAACAGAAGACAACAGTTTCCCAAAGACTTATTCTGGTTGCGTTATATACTTTTCCCTTCCCGTGATCACAAGAGACGGATGTTTATTTGTAAGTGTATTTTCATTGTATCATTATACTTGTATGTTGTGTGTCCTTTATTGTTTGTGCAGTTTTGTGTACTGTGTTTTGTTTCAGTGAGTTGTGACTTATTGTAGAACCACTGCCACCGGGTAAAAACACATTTGCAGTTGAAAATAATAATAATAATAATAATAATAATAATAATAAGTGAAGTCATTGCCTTCGAGCGTCTCCACTACACTTTTCCAGGATTTATTTCAGTCTTGGTATCACTTCTTATGAAAATCAAAAGACGAAATTGGTTTATCTGCTGCCTACTCCGCCGGAACATAACTCCAAATTAGGGGCATTATGAAGATGTTACGCCGTTGCAGACAAGGGAAAAACAAACACGCTTGTCCTGGTATCCCAACAGGAACAGGAAGAGTGACCTCATGGGAAACAAGTACCATTTAACAAGCACTGCGTTCATTATACATAGACAAAAGTAAGTCCAATTAAATCGCGAAGTAACTACACTGGTGAAGCGGGCGGACATGTAGCATGCACTGCACATCATCAGCCCTGCAACTTCCGTATCAGTGCAGCGAGGCAAGGAAGTGTAAAATCAATCCAAAATCATATGCGCCTTTGTCTCGTCGGTTTAAGTACACTGTCTCAAGGTGAGAGAAGAAAGGAACAGGCTTATTTTGTTCAAAATTGGGTTTTGTTTGTGGAATTTAATTGCGTATGATGGATACTGAGTCAGTTTGGATCATGTTCGGCAACGATCACAAATATTTACGTCACATTTATGGACTAGTCTGCGTCACTAACTACACAGAGGAGACTCCTTAACATCATAAAAATATCCCAACCTTGTAAGATATGAAGATTCCTTGTCACATTCACAAGATCAGTCACTGAGATTTCTCGATCAAAATTCTGTATACATTTCTCATTTCTTTCTTAGCGTGAAAATAAAACACTCACTTCTATCTAGAGCTGAAATTTCAAACTTTACCTCCATTCCCGCATACGTCTTCATTATGTGGTTCTTAAGCAAATATGCGAGTTTACGTTTTTTAAATTATAACATAAAATACAAATGGAAAAGGCCCGTTGGAAATTCAGTGGGAAATGTCTTCAAAAAACACTCATCTCCTACATTTCTCTCTGCCGTATTCCTTGCCCATCCTTTTTATCTGTAATTAATATGAACTTAATGTATATGTCTAGGACATCTGACAATTAACGTCATCTGTAAGATTTACTTTACTTACTTACTTATGGAGGAGCCGCCAATTCTGCAGCTACTCAAGAATTTCCCAGCATTTTATGGAACCCGAAGGTTCATTACCGTGTTCACAAGAGCCCTCCACTGGTCCCTATCCTGAGCCAGATCAAATCAATCCATACAAACCCATTCTATCTCTCGAAGATCAATTTTAATATTGTTCACCCCCCTACGCTTTGGTTTTCCCAGTGGTCCCTTTCCTTCTGTCTTTCCCACCAATATCCTATACGCATTCCTTTCCTCCCCCATTCGTGCTACACGCCCACTGAGAGTAATTACGAAGGCACAACACAGACACAATTACAATCCGTTGCCGCGATACGTGTTTGTTGAGCAGTTGCCTAACAGCAGACAAATGCCTCTATCTCCATTATATCTCAGTAGTGTACAACGTATTACTAATGAATGTCCTTATAAAGTCCGTGACAAGACATCGTTTTGGTGTGTCTGAGGACGGTGCTTCCACCACTTACTTAATTAGCATACCTACTGTGAGCGAAAAGAGGTCGGAGCGATCTACAATTAGCCCAACGTGTCTCCAGTTGAACTGTTTGAAGATGCTGCTGAAGACGAGACGCAGGCGACACTGGCAGTACGACATCCTGGTCAGGGTTGCGTACTGCGTCTTGTCCTTGAATATCCCCTGCAATCACACCAGGACGCACAGTTTCATTCCCTGCTGTTGTGTCTCTGGGCTGTTTTGAGAAACAAAGGGGTATAAGCTACAGAACCACTGCTCCAGACGAACGGGTTCGGTGGCCCTCCTTAATTGCTACTGAGAATCATTGGTATATCACATGGAAAAGCAGTGGAATTAAATTGCAGTTGAAAGTCGTTCCTTTCCTAAAGTGACTTTGCAACTTGACTGTTGCTAGTATACCGGTTGTCTGATGTTGTTTAAAGAAGTGGACGTTTCATTAATCCTGATGAATATTTTAAGGCGTAATGGAGACGTTATGGTTCTGTTTTAGTTAATTGAATGAGTTTAATTTGTAGCTGCCTTAATAATAGCTGTCACGACATAAGGTTTCGTATCGCAGGGACGACATACACTTTTCAGCAAGTGGAAGTAGAACCCCCACCTATTGTCTCAGTACATGGAACATCTAGGGGAAATTTCAGGGTGTCTACCGTCGCCTTTCGAACACTTTATAGTGCCATCTTGCAGGGAACTTATATGAAGAAACTGCTGTCATATAATTAGTCGCATGACGACTTAATAAAAGCCAGTTACCCAGAGTTCTGTCAAACACTGAGGCTAATTACTGGGGCGGGCAAATATAAATTCTAATAGAATATACGTATATGTGTGTGTGTATTGTAACGTGTTTGGAGTAGGTACTTCAACGGTAACGCAATAACAATAAGCCGATGCGTAGAGAATGCCGAAACAACGAACGCGTCTCCCCATAGATGAACAACAGAGAGTTCGTTGCGTAACAACGGACTGCCGGAACAGCGGGAACGGAACCGTGAGGAATGGTGTCTGGTATCCGGTCCGCATAACGCCTATATAAAAGAGCCCGTTAGATCCGTACGAACGAGACAGGTGGGATCCAGCCACGGCCAAGGACAGTTGAGATGTCGCATTGAAGTAGAGGAAGTAGTTGTGATACTGCAAGTGGTAATAATTGTAAGGTGTGTATGAGTGAGTGACCAATAAAGATTCGCTAAATCCGAGACCCACGTGAAGTTGTCACGTGACATACCCAACACGTGACAATATGTAAACATGCCGATCACAGTGGCCGCGCGGTCTAAAACATGAACTGTCTTTCCTCACTCGAACACTGGGATCGTGGATTCGAATCCCACTCGAGGAATGGATGTCCATGTGCATTTATTCTGTGTTTGTGTTGTCCTATTTCTAGATAGCAGCCTTGCGACGGGATGATTCCCTGTCCAAGGTATCCTTCCGACTGTGTAAAAAATCAAGAGACTGAAAAAGCGGTCAAGGCCCAACAAAGGGCGATAGAGCCATAGACAGATAGACATTAGTATACGAAAATGTAAATACACACACGTATAGTATGTGTGTATTTAAATTTTCAGTGTGTAAACAAAACAGTGGCCATTATGGCGATACGGTTAAGCCGCAGTACCTTATGAGGTATACCTTTCACTACGTACACACGGTTCGCGGAGGGATACACAAAAACGTCCGCAATGTTTGGCGCCTGTAGATGAATGGATATGTGTGTGTGTGTGTGTGTTGCTTAAAACCAGTTCTTCACGTTTCTGCCTCAAACGCAGTTAGAACTAAGATCAATAATAATAATAACAGTGAAATCCATCACAGTCTCTGGGCTAAGACACAGTTTTTTGGCAGTTCGATAATTGGAACAGAGACATCTGGCTTTCTGCGACGTTCTGTGTGCCGATGAGAGTTGTAGTGGCCGAGGGCCCAGTTCAGGGAGTTCCTATTTGGACTCAAAAGCTACATGAGGGTTTCAAAACTTAGTTCTGAATAGCAAGAAAAATATTTTGTTCTATAATAGTTAATAATTCAAACCAATTCACTTATTTATTTACGTATTTATTTATTTACGTACTTACTCAACAGGCCCCAAAAAATCATAAAATAAGCACGAGCATAGGTGGAAGCAAACAAAATCATATACATAATCAAACAAGAGACAAATTAAGGCAATTTATGAAATAAAAAAATTAATAAGTACAATGGCGCCAGTCATTATTCGGCGAGAAAAATATATACATCTACTACTATTGATTATAATTAATATTTTAGTAAGATGAGAGGACCGCCATGAAGTGCAATGAAGGAAAACAATTTCGGTTCCAAACACGTGAATGTATTTGGAACAAACAGACATTAGCAGCTGAAGGGTATGTAGGGGAGGGGCAATTTGTACTTGAGGAGCAGACATTGAACAAAGAACAATCTCTGACGTAACGAGTTGGACCTCGAAGTCCAACAGACTCCAGAGAAAGGCAGAACTTAGAACAGACAAACTCGAAAGGGGAACATCGCATCGAGGTGGTACCTCCTCTTCCGTAAGTTATGCGGCTTCAGTGGCGGAAGTTGTGGTGGTGGTGGTGGTGATGATGATGATGATGATGATGATAATTTTTACACCTTCTGTGATACAATATATTGCTTTGAATGTAAGTTGTAAGTAGCCAAAAATTCTCATCTCAGAACTTAAACTTTTTCTGTTAATAAGAATATTAAAACAGTTATATGCACCACTTTTGTTACTTGAGGTATATTTCAAACATATTGCATTTCATGCGATAGTCCAAGTCCCGTTTGTAGGTAAATTCTTATCAATGCTCACGTAACTAGATAACGGGTCACATGAAGAAAATTGTGGCACCAAATTAGAAACTTTGTGTATATTAAATGTATTTGGCCAGAATACCGACTGTCCTGTTTGGGGTTTTTGTTGTTCTCCCCAGTATCTGCAGCCAGATTCCCGGGGAAATGGCTTGAAATAAGCCACAACCACTTCCAGCCATGTCCCTTCCATTTCACTACTCACTAATGGTCCTACACCATGCAGTCTGAGTTACTGATAGCATTGCTAAGTAAACAGTGATTAAATAAAATATTAAAATGGACACAGTCCGTAAGAACAGTAATGCATTTGCCAGCTTAGTCCTCGTAATGTCTGTGCGTTCTTACCGAAGTGTCGTTCTTCCACTTGTGAAGGCGCCCCAGAATTCCGGATGACACAGACAGCTCCGTTTCAGATGGAGGCTGCGAACAATAGGAATACAGTACGTTACCCTAATAAGTAACGGGTATCGCTTGAAATGAGCCCATCACAGTTGCCGCGCGGTCTAAGGCATGAAAAGTCTTCGCCCGCTCGAACTTTGTAATCGTGGGTTCCAGTCTCACTCAAGGCATGGCTAGGAAGTGACAAATGCATTGAGCGTAATATATACATATGTATCTCTTTTTACTCTACAAACTTGTTCGAAAAATTTCTCCAAGAACAGTGTTCAGTGAGTGACTACTGTTGTTCGAGATGTTAGCAGAAGAGGGTGAAGGCCTTCATGTATAGTGTCCGTCAGTTTTCTCCTGTTGTAACCACAATTTGACAGTCTTAAGGAAGAGAGCAGTCTTCTGGGATGTGGCGCCGTGTAGGTATGGTGTTAACCGCCGTTTCGGAGGAACGTATCGCCTCAAACTTCAAGGTAGAAGAAAAAAGGAGAAAATACGCAAACGAAGAACCGGTGTGATCAGGTGCAAATAGACTATTTAGTCTTCGCTTTAGGCGTCTTCTTTTTTCTCCTACCCTGAAGATGGAGGTGATACGTTCCTCCGAAACGGCGGTTAACACCATACCTACACGGTGCCACATCCCAGAAGACTGCTCCCTTCATAGTCACCGCCGTGAAAACCTCAAATCTTAAATGAAGTTCTCTAAAAATCTCTGACTCTCCTACGCGTAATAGTAGATTACCTGCACATCATGTTATAAAAAAAACTGTACCAGCATGCTAGACAACGGATATTGATGGCTGCTGCCTAGGGGGTAGAGTAGCAGCGGTGTGAGGCTCACCACTCACCTCAGTCAACGTGATTTACAGAGATTTCTTGCAAGCGCGAAATCTGGCGGATGAATCGGGCTTCCGTTCCTGTCATATTGGGTCGACCCTCAACGCAGAAGTTTGCTTCACGGCCGCGCTGTCCATGAAACACTACAACAAACTAACCTGGTCGCCCATGCCGGTGATAATAGGACGGTTCCAGTAGGCTGCGAGACGGGCCACAGGTTCCAGGGCGAAGGCGCACGCTGGTCCTATGAAAGCGATGACGTTGGCTTTGAAGTGCATGTCGGCGGCCAGACCTGGGGCGATGTTCCCCGAACACGATGGGTAACTGCAGCAACAGATTGCAGAGGACCTGAGTAAACTCACTAGCCTCGTTTCACTTATGAAAGCAGCACTATCCAATAGTTCGACGTGATCTGTTTTATGTAAATCATTTTACGCTTTCTTCACTGGTTCAATAAAAATTAGTGCAATATTCTTATTTTAAAAGTGGTTTCCTCTGTAAATTTTCTGAAAAGAAAGGTTGTCATTCGTGAAGAGATATTAGATTAATTATTATATTCACAAAAGAGTTATAAACAAAAAACACAAACTCCGTGGCCTGTAGTTCACAAGCGAACTATACCGACCGAGCGACCGCCGCTTGTCGACGGAGTTAGTGCCGACTTCTGTAGATAGATGTCGCGTGGTCGGCGCAACAGATCTCCTCGGCCGTTAATGTCTGTTTTCTAGACCGGAGCCGCTATTTCCTTGAAATAGCTCCTCAGTTATTCTCACAAGGCTGAGCGAACCCCGTTCCAGACCCACTACTTAGAAAACCTGGTAGCGACGGGAATCGAACCCGGACCCCTGGATCTGTAGCCTTGAACTCTTGACAACTAGACCACAGAGACAGTCTTAGAGAAGAATTACACGTTTGGAAAATACACGTATTCCGGCTGGAGTACAATTTTATGTTCTTTGTTTTACTCTCCGTACAATGTCATAGCCACATACTGCCCTGCAAAATGACGTCCTCCCTACGTTCCTTCTTCAGCAATGTTGTCCGTACGTATTGTAACCAACGTATGGTACATGCCCGATAAAGTCAAAATTAACTATTAATTATGGTAAACAAATTTTGTCAATTTATTTTTTCTGTATCTTAGAGCGTTTTTCAGATTTTCAGGGTCTACTCAAAGGCGTGTCTGGCTTGGCATGAGGTGAGATAACCCTCTCTATTCGTTCCCGTCATGTATCCATACAAGGAGATAATTTGTAGACCCCAGCGGACTTTAACATGTGGCAGAATGAAAAATATGATTGTATCATAAAATAAAACAAAAACACTGCCTCTCCCACTTCATTATTCGTGAGAGAGAACTAACAATGTATAATTTGTAGCAGTTGTTGCATCAATTAGGGGTATTATATGAGTTCTACAGGAAGTCTATTCATGGAGAGCAGGCGTATATATTGCAATCAGTGTAAGCTTGCTTCCAGCGAAACTACAGGTCAACATGTGCGAATACGTTGAATTTCGCAGGTTTGATTGCGAATAGTGTCAATTGCTGCAGGTATCGCAGATGACAAGTGCAAATTTGTCCCTGTGCTTATGCACCGCGCCATGAAAACGTGTGAGGAGTGAAGAATAAGGTTCACACATTCTTAAAATGAATTCCAACGGGCACTTCATGTGAATAGCAAGAGAGACAGGATGTTTCTATTGAGTGCCAAAAGTTTTAGGTTTTTTGAAAACGGACAGATCAAGCCTCCAAGATGATGGAGACACAATCTCTGCTCCAGACGGTGAACACTGTCCAGGAGCATCAGAACTTCAAGTGTCAGGCCATTGTCCCAAACCGTCAGAGGTATACGATTTTAATGCACAACTTCTCCATGGCTGATTATCTCAGGCATCTCCAGAATCCTTCCGAACCCCTTACTAACCGCTGGGTAACTGGAGAGAACTGAACTAGAAGCTTTATTCTTTACTCACGAATACGTTCCTACTTTAACAAGTTTGTTTTCTTGTTGTGGTCTATTGTTTCCTTGTTTTTGTTATGATGCAACAAAACTGAGATTGAGTCATCTTAGATTATTTAGCGAAAATCTTTCAACTGTACACATTTGAGAGTGACAAGTGACGTAAGATGACGACCATGACGCGAGAAAGTAAGGAATGGAAGTTCTTGCTAAGGCATGATAAAGTAAAGTAGAGCGAAATGTATTCAGCTGAGTTTCGTTACAAACATAAAACTGTGTCCACATAGCGACAGGTGCTTCTGGGACACAGTTTAATGCGTACAAACATACAAAACTACAGTACCTACAGACAATACGTATAAACCTCTTTAAGTAAGTTCAGTCGCTATTACTATCACTACCGATACCACAACCATTGTACCATAACTATTTTTGCTCCCAATCAATTTTCTCATTTTTTATTTCAGCTTCCAACTAACCTCAGTTGGATGAAGGTACTATAATAAGCAATATTGGGGTCTTACGATAATTTCATACATTTGTTTTAAGTTACTGAACTGGTTTGTATGGGAAATGCATACAGACATTCTGTCGTAAACACTGAAAGGAAGAAACTACTTCCAGCCTCTCGACAAAGCTGGAAGAATAGTAATAAAATGGATCCTAAGAAATAAAGTACGTAGTATTGGACCCGATCAGCTTGCTCAGGAGAGGGCACGGCTCTTTTAATCGCGGTAATGAATATTCCTGTTCCATAAAATGCAAGGAAACTCTCAATTGGCTTAGTCTTATGTACATCGAAATACAGAGCCTGATATTCTGAGGCACAGTTAGTGCCTCGTAAGAATGGCTGGAAGGAAGTAAAATTTAAATGGATTTAACGATGTCTGCAGTATTCTAAATGAATGTTCTTACAAAATCTGTTCTATCAATAAGTGCAGACAGAGCAGGCTCAGAATGTTTCTACTGAATTACTCGCGATGTATTGGCCAGGATGTGTAGCTACAGATGTTTACTTATTACCGGAAGAATGATCCAGAATGTTCAATATTTGGAGACTGGCAGATGTGTCAGCAAACAGGCTGTCAGGCTGATACACCCCAAGTTTGTGAGCTTCATACTAGGGGAGTTGTACATATTACAGCGTGAAAGTTATTTCATTCCCGGTGATAAGGTTACCAGGGACTCAATAATCAAAATCACAAGTAACCTGACTTCTACTATCATTAATGGTATATCAAGATCTTTACGATAATTTCGTTTCTGAAAAGAAGTATGACAGAGATATTTTCTTTATAAAATTAATATAAGAACTTCACAATTCTGTGCAGGTGGTTTCCAATGCCAGGGTTGGTGGCATTGACTCTTTTTGATTATTTAAAATTGAATTATCTTTGCAATAACATTGAAAATGTATCTCCACATATAAAAAGGCCTATGAAAATGAAAAGTTACATCACATTTAAACGGAATTTATACCCTACTGTTAAGGAGCATGAGGTGGGCAGGGTATGTAGCACGAATGGGGGAGTAAAGGAATGCATATAAGATATTGGTGGGAAAGACAAAAGGAAAGAGACCACTGGAAAGAACAAGGCGTAGGTGGGTGGACAATATTAAAATGGATCTTCGAGAGATAGGATGGGATGGATTGGATTGATCTGGCTCAGGATAGTAACCAGTGGATGGAACTTGTGAACAAGGTAATGAACCTTCGGGTTCAATAAAATGCTGGGAAATTCTTGAGTAGCTGCAGATTTGGCCTCTCCTCAAGAAGGGCTCAGCTCCATGGGTAAGTGCTACACACTAGTGAAGCATGCAGGCTTCCTCATGTCATACTGAGATGTTAGGACTCCGAAGTGAAGCAGAGCGAGGCGTGGAGGGCGGACTGAACTGCGTACAGCCATGCGAGGAGGCGTTGTGCAAATAAGGGATCCATAAAAACTGTGCATATGGAAGCGTGAAAGCAGAGTACACAAGTATCAGGATATCGGTATATTTACACAACCGAAAGCTTGCAGACGCGCTTCCATTTTCATAACTAAATTCTGTGCGTGTGGTATTCCCACTCCTTTCTCTTGCTCTGAGTAAGGTGAAGCTGTCCCTGTGCTTAACTAATTAACCACTACGCCATGAAGACGGTTGGGGTAGTGAATGTATAGATACACGTATTCTTGAACTCGGCACTAGTTGGAGTTGAGTGATCAGCTTCACACCCCGGCCGCTTTACCCCCAGGGAGTAAGTCCCTAATACCCATTGGATACAGGAGGCTGGGGGGCGGCCCAGAACGGTATGGACGACGTGGCGAGGAGTAAAATCTTGAAGAATTCTGTCTTCTGGGATGTGGCGCCGTGTAGATATTGTGTAAACCGACGTTTCGGAGGAACGTATCGCCTCCATCTTCAGAGTATATAAAGTTGCCACTACCGTAGCCGAAAAGCGGCGGTCGCTCGGTCGGTATAGTTCGCTTGCGGACTACAGGCCACGGAGTCTTTTTATCAGGCAACCCGACATCCACATCCACGAGACCAAAGCAGACAGATCACGCATGCAGGCAAACTACGAGTAGCACCTTACAACAAGAACCTCAGAATGTAAACACAAAGCCTGAGGAGCCAGGGTTCCCCGAGTGACCTGTGCTTCTATCCACACGTCATGATTCAGCCAGCCGATCAGTTGTGAGACTGTCGCCGGCCTGCAATGACGTGAACGCTGAAATTGAGGGAACTACGCGTTGAAGGCCGTTACCAGACACCGACTGGTGAAAACACAGCAGACAGAAGACTTAGTAAGTGTTGTAGTGAACTGCCGAGTATGTGAATTAGCTATAGCGCTGTAGTTACTTGTAGTTACGATCTGTACGTGTTCAGTAAATCTGATTACCAACCCAGACCCCGTCTGTAGTTGCTCTATCATGTAACAGTATGATTATTATTGCAACGGACAACGGTAGCCGGAACACATAGTCCTATAATGGAAAATAAGTATGGAAATAAATAACTAAATTATGTTATAATCGACTTTTACACTTCTTCTTTCAGCGTGCAGACGGAAAGAAATTTCATCCTTGAGGCGGAAGATCACGTGTCACCAAGATATAGGTTACATACTTAGGCTTACAGTGAGATAAGAAGGAGGTTCCGAAAAGGTCAGGATGACACAACAGCTTAAGAATTTTATGTATGTAATGAATATAGGCTGTTTAAATTGTCCATACAGAATTCCCCTTGAGAAGTTACAGCCGAAAAACTCTGCTGATAAATGAATACGAATGGATATGGTGAATATAATCGCAGCTTGAAAGCATGCCTGTAAATATCGTAGTATTTTGGTTGTTCGGTTTGGCACCACTGTTAGATGCA